GGTGTCCTCGGCGAGACCTAAGGATCCTGCGTTTTGTTCCTGCTAGGGTCATAGGTGTACAGTACTGAGGAGTCCAAAACTAGGATAAGACAGCTGTTCAGTGCCGCCTGTTTTCCAATAGTCTCTCTCTCTGAAATGTTGAAATATCAAAATCTGATAGAATCATGATTAAAATAACTGAGGTTTTGAATTTCTTGAACTTGACGTTTTACCTAAATGTAGGCTCACGGTAAAGTACTTTTATTTTCATACTCGGAGTCACTGAACTACCAGCTATCATTCTAATGTTAACCTAGAATTTATCTGTTGAAATTCTTAACTTAATGAGAATTGTCTGAAATTGTCATTCCTTCGAATATACCCATTTTAAAAAGGCCAGATGCAGGGAATTATTTCAGGAATTTACTTGCAATTCGCAGAAATTCTAATCTTAGTTCATCTCTCAGTCTAAACTGTGAGTACAGAGACTCTACTTTATTTGAGTTCTTGTTTAGACTGAACAGCTTAATGATATCATATTAAGATTCCAAACTCTTATATTTTCAGCATTAATAATAAAAACTCTGCTCGAGTCAGTGTTTACTTTAACAAGTGGCCATTTTACGTTTTCTAAATGTTAACTGAATGGGATCCAATTGAGAAGACTTCTGTTAACATTTAAAATTGGTGAAAATTTTTAACCGGAATAGTCAAGCTAAAGAAAGCTAAATAAATTGATTTTTATACTGAATAAAGATACGATACAAATTTAATTTTCTTTATAACACAAATCTCTTAGTAAATATTTATACCGGAAATATAAATATAGCTATTAGAGCTAGATGTTTACCATATGACAGCTCTTCCTACTTATAAGATTCCCTGAAAATCATAAATAGACACTTCATATGTACATGAACAATAATTCACGTCATTTATTCCAATGGTTAGATATTCTGACCAACACGACTATATTTTACTGAAAAAGTTACATGTATTAAAAATGGTTTTTAATAACGATCCCATAAATGCACTTAGTATTGTTTGTTTGAATCTTCCCATTAATGTTTTAGGACTGCAACTGGTCACTCTCTAATTGGCATATGTGAATACTGTGCGTATTGCCTCGATATAGCCTAAATTCCCATAAGTGTTTATACACGCAGAAGGTATGACAAACTGTTTCTCAAAACTCCCGTTAACCATGAAATAACGTTTGCGTGGAAAACATTTTTTGTCTAGTTTCTGTCGGTCTGAATGCAGCTTCAAACAATATTTACTATTCAATGGACTGAAAGTAGCAGATCAAATAAACTTTAACATTTAATATGTCTTTTTCTTGATGTTATTAGACTGATTTCAGGTTATGAACAAATTGAAAAAGTTAATTCATTAAGAAAAATCTACTTCATTGAAACAAGTTTATCAAAGGTGATCATACTTAAGTTAGCACAAAACTGAATATAAATTATGTCTATGAAAAGTTTTTAAAAATATAATCCATCAAAGTAACTCAATTAGAAGCTTCAGTGAAATGAGGCACTATAGAATCCAGTAAATCAATGTATTTTGCGAATTAACAGTCAATACAGTCATTAACTAAGTAATGACACGTTCCTGTTTTGAATTCTATATTATAATTGCTAGCAAATTCACACGACTTCAAAATTATGAAATTTAGGTTTTTATTTCATTTATGTTGCTTCATTTATTGATCTCTTAAAGAAAACAAACATATTAGGCTACTGCAGTTGATGGTTAACTGCTTCCAGTCGTTCAATTTTCCAAAGAGCTTGGCGAACTTACCGATGATTATAAAAGTCTTGCGGTCACTTTGACATTATAACACATTATAACACATATACGGAAGTTACTGTGAAAATTACTGGGATCTAAAAGGTCACTCTGACTTACATATTTACGCCTGTTACCCAACGTCGTGGAGGAGCATAGACCGACCAACAGCATTCTCCATCCAACTCTGTCATGGACAATCCCCCACAGCTGTTTCCAGTTCACATTCATCCACTTGATGGCTTCTTCTAATACACACAGCAGTGTGTTATTTGGTCTTCCTCTTTTCTGTTCCTATTCAATATTCCAAGTTGGTGCTTGCTTCATGATGTGGGTTGATGATTCCACAATGCATGTCTTATTGACTTCCACGTCTTTTTCCAACTTCCTCTTCATTTTGAATCTGGTTCTTTCTCTCCCACAGTAGGCTTTTGCTGATAGTATCTGATCGACAGATAGTAGATATCTTAAGTAGACAATTGTTTACAAATACTTGTACTCGTTTGATGATGGTTGTGGTAATTATCTTATTCTCAGTTAAGTACAATAGCAAGATTTCGAATTCTTGTCCAGGTTGGGTCCAATGTGTTTCACTGACTCCGAGCTCCACCACGATTTATCGGTCATCAGATGTGGAGATCTTCATTATCAAGTCAACCCGAGAAACAAAGAGGAAGGGGAGAGTAGACAAACTTGTATGACTCCAGTCCTCACTTGCATTGCATCTATCAGCTGTCCTCCATACAACACTTTGCACTGTATTCTGTCGTACGAATTCCTGATGATATTGACAATCTTCTCAGGTACTCCATTGTGTCGAAGAAGGTTCCAAAATGTTATCCTACACAATATCAAACGCTTTTTCATAACCAAGAAAGTTGATGTATGGTGAAGAGTTCCATTCACTTGATTGTTCAATGATGATCCGTAATGTCACGGTTCAGTCTGTGCACGACCGATCCTTATGGAATGCAGTTTGTTGATCTCGAAGTTGGGCGTCTACTGAGTCTTTCATACTGTTCAGCAACACTGTGAGAAACTTCTCTCGGTTTCGATAGCATTGTGATTCCTCTGTAGTTCTCACATTTGCTCAGATCTCCTTTCTATTTTTGACAGCTTCATTAGGTATCCTTGTTTCCAATCTGTCAGTGGCACTTGTCCCTCCTCCCTACTCTTCCTCAACAGAACGTCGAGCGTGTTTGCAGTTGCTTGTGTGTCTGTCTTCAATGCTTCGTCTGGTATATTATCAGGTCCTACTATTTCCACATTCTTGATTTGTCTGATGACTATCCTGATTTTTTGATCGTTGTTGGAGTGACATCTATAGGAAGGTCTGTGTGTGCTGCTTGGATATCTGTTGGATCCAATGGAGATGGTCTATCCATGAGTTTCTCAAACTGTTCTACCTATCTATTCCTCTGTTCTTGAATCTCGGTTATTGTCTTGTCTTCTCTGTCCTTGACCGGTCTATCCTGTTTACTATGTTTCTCTGTCAGTTTTTTCGTTGTACCACATAGCTGTTTCATATTTCCTTTTGTTGCAGCTTTTTTCACTTTCCTTGCTAGCGCTTCTACTCATTTCTGCCTGTCAGCTCTGGTGCTCCTCTTCACTTGCTTGGTTTTTCGTGTGTATGTATGTTGACTTTTTCTGTCCTTGTTCGGCTGTTGCTATTTGCTGTTATTTTGTTCTTACTTTCTTGAATCTTGTCTAGAGTTTCGATAGAGATCTATTCCTCATAATGATGCTCGTTGCATCTCAGAATCTTTTGACACGTTGAGGTTAGGGAATCTTTGATCCCTTTCCAGTTGTCCTCCATAGTCTTTTCTTTGTCTTTGATTAAATCTTTTAAAGCTTGAGACCTGTCGTTGAGAACTGTCTTGAATTTATTGAGTTTGTCAGTGTCTCGAAGGAAGGATGTATTAAACCTTTGTAATGGTTTTTCCTAGTTGTCCAGTATTTCTTTAGCTTCAGTTTCATCCTGACCACAACGAGTTGTTGATCTGTCTGGTTCTGTATGGTGTTGTCCAGTGAGACCCACATTCATGATCTCTAGCTATTGCTAGTTCAAGAACATAAGATATGCAACACCGTACGACATCCAAGCGAACTTCAGATTTCAACTATGGAAGGTGAAAACAATAAACAAACAAATAAAAACTGAAAAACTAAGAATTCTACATGTACTCAACCGCCTGTTGTTTGTCTATTTGAGGTCGAATCTGTTGTAAACTGTTTTGAATTACGATAGGAAAGTTGTTGAAATTACTATGTATTGACTTCTACAGCTTTTGAAGTTCTACACACCTTTCCTAATCAAATCACAGTATCCTCCATTTTTTGTCACACCATCATTTCAGCATTGAATCAGATTTCGTACGAAGTCATCCGATTTGTAATAGGAGTACCAAAATGTTTCAAGAGGCTTGTAAGTTGGTTCTTTGGACGTAGTCAAATCTTGAACACTAGTAAAAACGTTACTCAAAATGTTGCTCAAAAGAACTCTGCTCATATGTTAAACCTGTATCATCCAGAACAATACGCATGATAAACTCACTGACTATGTCCAAACGTGATCAACGAATGACATATTTACACTCTCATGATGTTACTCTAAATAGTTCTAGAGAACAGATAAAAGCACTAATCATCAGACATTTATATCAATGTAACCAAGACACAAGTGTTCTTTTGTCAAAGTGATTACAAATTTCAAAACAACTTATCAAATTAAACATTCACATTTATTCAGTTTGGACACACGAAAATATTCCCAATACATGTTGATATTGACATTTTCACAATAACAAAACTTGATGAAAAAATGGAAGAAAATAGACAAATAAACACAAAATCGGCCTAATAGTCCTCTTGCTATAAAAATGTCCTAAACCGAAAGAAGAAATGTAGAGCGATTAAGAGAACAATGACCAGTATTGACAAATGCTTTGAAAAGAAACAGTAAAAGTCAAGCAATCATGGAAAATGGAGAAGTTATAGGTCAAACACTGCAAATAACCGCTGTCACGTGGTTTAACAATGTTTAAAGGTCAACAGTTCATTAGACAAGTTTCATTTTGCTGATGTTATTCTTATAACTTCAGATCACGGTTCGTAGGCATGAAATTGTTTCGAATTGTTAAATGCATTCAAAGAAATCACGTTTTGTCCGTGATCACATTTATTGTTAGCACAATATCTATAAAAGAACACTGTACTAATCACTGCCTGAAACGTACAGATATTATTGTCGTTGATTAACAGTTGTCTAAACACAATAATTCTGTGGAGATGTTGGCTGTGGATAATTCTGATGGAAGATACTTTTATTCCACAGATCACTGTCAATGTACCCACTCGATGCGTGCAAAAAATTTAACAAACAAAACTTTAATACAGTCAAAGAAATCATTTATCATTTTGATTGTGTTGATTTTCGAATTAATATTTGTTGACCATGCTTCAGCAGTGAGCAGTTCTAGTTATTTCGAAATTGGTCCAGTGTTCAAAAGTATGTATATCTCAATTAATTTTTAATGGTGTTTTTGGCTAAAATGACTGAAAGTTTATAATAATAATAATAATAATTATTATTATTATTATTATTATTATTATTATTAAAAAGCCTAACCATTGAATTAACGTAATTATTTTATCGTGTGGCTAGTAATATGATAATTAGTGTTCTTTAATTTTTCGCAGCATTGTTAACTAGGGATTTGCGATTTAATCGTTTATCCATATACTTCATAAAATACTGATTCTTCTTTTCGGTCACGTACTCAACGAAGACAATGGAAGATGGTCATACAATGTCGTGGACCGATTGAGGTAGGTTTAAAACACCATCGGACTTCGCTTCATCTGTCTAGAGGTCAAGCGTTCTTTCCTCAGTTGGGTTCTCGTGAACAAGGTTGTGAATGTGCACTCCTGAAATGTTCCATTCCAGAATGAAACGACCTTCTACTGATTCCATGTTTTCAATGGTGGTCTAACATTGATCGGTTTGTAGTATCGGTTGTTATGTTAAACTCATATACTTTATTTTAGATTCTAGACAAACCAATTCACCTTTCCTTCATGATTCATGTTTCCACCTTACTAATTATTCATTTATTAACCCCGACTATTATTTATGCGAGCATAGGTGTGTGTACACTTCTTATACTATTCATCGCATGTCTGTAACTTATTCTTGTCTGACTGTAAATATTGATTAACGCTTGATTAAAGTGAGTTGGCTTACCCGCCGTCTCCAATGTGAGTCATTTGTTAATAAACTGGTAGTTGCCGATTCTCTTTGCCTTCTGATATTAGGCACTGTTAAGAATTGTATTATAACGGTTATCGAGATGAACGATTAGAGAAGCACGGCACTACAGGCTCATTAATTCAGTGAAATTCAACAATCTTTACAACCGTACGTTTGAAATATTGTTCTGTCCTATAGGGCATCTTCATCAAAAGACATTGAAATGTTGCTAAACATTAATATTATTATTGGAAAAGTTGATTTTCAACTCTACAAATTTCAGCCTAACAATCTCTCAGACTAATGTCATTCTTACTGATGATTGTGACTAAACAAAGCCAGTAGTTGGTTAAGAAAAGGTATGATGTCAAATGAAATTTATTGAACTGTAATATAAACTACTGGATAGCTTTAATTACCAAACGGGATGTACCATACTGATGCAGTGTTTATCATTGTGACAAATATCCGAAAGACAGAAAATTATTATTGTCTCATGTACCCTATTTTTGCATAATACAACATATTACGTTAGGGATTAACAATAACATAAAGCATAAATGCATCAATCACATATTGTTTTCAGTTCCTCTTCGTTTCAAGTTTTAAAGAGGTCAAATGACTCGGCTTATTAATGACGCATGTTACAAATAAACTTTGTAGAGAAAAATACTTCATATTGATCTGAATTATAGTACGATCTAAAAGTGAATTGAGTTGACTAGCTAATTCATGTAGTTATATCCATATTTTCAGCCCCATAAACCGGTTAATTTTAAAAACTTTAAAGGTCCATTTCTCTCTCAACCAAGTGTGAAGAATGTTCACTCATTGATTACTACCGACTGATGAACAAAACTTATTCTACTTTAAACTTTTGTTTTAGATATATTAACTACTAGTGAGACAGAAAATATCGATGATGAAAATAACATGTCGAATTATTCATCAGAAGATTTTAGATTACCACACACATTGTTTCCACATTTCTACGATTTGTCAATTCAAGTCCATTTGCATGATAACAAGTCACAAGCATTTTTCTTTAATGGATCTGTGACAGTAAAAGTTTTCTGTAATGTATCGACAACCGAAATCTTCGTCCATGCATACAAAACTCTGGATGTGAAATTGGATAAAATCCAAGTAAGCTATAGTTTTCAACCTTACTTTATTAAAAAATAATACGTTCTTTGAAATCAGTATTAAATCTATTGATAAACTTATATTATGTAAGAGTCTCCTATAAAAACAAAACCTTTACCTACATTTATGTCACCGTTTATGTGGAAAGTATGTTTTAGTTCATGAACTCTTTAACTTTACTGTTTTTTATTGAAAACTGTTTCCGACTAGCAACAACTCATTGAACTAAATAAATGAACCTTTTGGTAATTTGTAAGTGAACATTCAAACGTATTAACTAAGTAAACATGGAAATTGAAAACATCGTGTGAATGGATTCATAATGTTGTTTAAAAAATACTATTCACTTTTAAAGTTTGTTTAATCTTTTATGCCAACTGAATTTTACATGATCAAGTAAGTGACTACTACGTATGTGATAATGATATGACAGTTCAAAATTATTATTCATCATAAACTGAATTTCAAAACTTACATAAAGTTTATAAGCAAAGATGGATAGTGGTTAGCAGTGGAATCTAGGACGCGCGTTTCTTCCTATTTAGGACTCGTCAGCTGGATGTACCTGCATCTCAGAGTTAATGTTCACTCTGGGACTCTAACCCTGTACCTTTCGCTTCAAACCCCATCGCGTTATCCACTCAGCTAATGAGTCCTGCTAATCATTATAAATCTTTGCTTATAATGCTTGTGAATTTAGGCTATATCGAGGCAATGCACACAGTATGCACATATGGCCTATGAGAGACTGACCAGTTGCAGTCCTAAACATCAGTGGGGAGATACAAACAAACAATACTAAGTAAATTTATATAAAGTTTGTTTAACAAACTTTGTTTTCAGAATCATCATTTATCATGGCTTATTTGATAGTGATTCAAATGGAATTTCGACTAGAACGAAAATCAAGTAATAACCCATTTTTTTCATTAATCCTCAATAATATTAACCTAATCAGGACACAATTACATCATTTTATTTCTGAAATTAGTTGGAAACAATACTGTACAACAGAACTTGTAAGTAGAATTGTACGGAACGAAACAAAAGTGAAAATTACTTAAACGTAGAATTTTAAATAAAGTTTATTTTATTAAAACAACAAACATGAAAAACAAGAAAACATTTTCTCATTTATAAACTATTTAAGCGACAGTATTATAAAAAATTGAATTTATGTAAAGAATCAAACAAATAATTTAATCAAGTAGCATGTTATTCTATAGTCATGATCCTAGAATGGATCCCGTGAAAATACCAGGATCTCTGGTTTCCCTATAGTTCTATAGTTGTCTCCCACTATAGGCTGTTGCTGATGATATCTGGTCGACGGACAGTAGATATCTTGTGTAGGTTGCAACCGGCGGTAACACTAGAGATGCAGATGGAGATATTGATTGCCGTACATAATAGTTGTGTGCCCGTAGTACTTTTCTTTGTCAAAAAGAATGATTATTTTCACTCTACAGAATTCGACTTTCTACATAAACCGAAATAAAATAATATCTATTCAAAATGTAAATACTCTTTCTGATCGAAGAAAAAAGTCTTTACTTTACAATAGTTCTCGTCTCGGTTTTTTAAAAACAGATGGTTCCTCTTCATGAACGAAATCAAACAAGTTCTATTATTGAAATAGAAGACATAAATTATTTTGATGATGCTGAGTGTTATCGAATAAAACTCAAAATGCCTTTGCGACCAAACACTTATTACAACCTGACATTTGGACAGTTTTGTTCTGATCTAAACTATGTTTCTGAAGGACTGTATCTTAGCAGATATTTGGAAAATGGAGTTTACGAGTGAGTCTCGATTTAAGACATATGTTTGCAGGTTTATTTGATATCGGTTGACGAGCACTATGTGAGGAAGAGTGATGTTTATTGACCTCTATATGTCACTGACTTCATCTGCCATATCTACCACATTCTTCCATTAGTAAATGAAGCCTACTAACCAAACATACTTGATCAAGTGTTAAGGACAAATAGTGACCATTACCGGCTACTCGCTAAATAACTGACAAGCTTAGTGTAATGGTGTCCTAATGGTTTCAATTCTTACGATGGTGTGATTCACTATGAAATAGTGTCCAAAACATTTGCCATTAGGATTCTCTTTCTCAGAAACACTATTCACGAGTCAATAAACATTGTGATATTGATTCAACGTACGATAAATATAAAATTTTAAACAATACAAATCTGGTGACACTAACTGTACAGAAATATATTACTCAGAGTTCCAGTGACATTCCCTTACTCAAAGAGAGAATTTATTTACGGATATGGTGCAGAACGTCATTCACTACAAACTCACGTGGTTTTCATGTTGATTACAAAATATGTAAAGATTTGAGGGTTTCAAAGTGTTAATAATATCCGGTTTGATTTGCTAACCTACTCATATCTGATATCTTCAAGGTTTCAGCCTAATTAGTCAGTAGCGAAGTTCGTCATCTGATTCAATGTGAAGAGTTAGCTTAGTGGTTAGTGCACTCAACTTCCTTTGGAAGTTTGGAGGAAACAACAAACGAAATGAGAAACAGTGCACTCAATCTACTCTTCAGGTACCAAATCATTCGTGACTGCTAATAACACAACTACTCGCATGCATTGAACGCTTAACAATCACTTCAGAATGCACGTTTTCTGTGTTTTGATTAAGAAATACATTTATTCAATGCTAACTAGACAATGAAATTTGTTCTCTGGAAACTGTCTTAACGTTTGTATTGAAGGTTATCATTAGAATGTTTGCTTGCATACGGTTGTTTCGAATTCGTTTGTTCTTCAACTGTAGAAATGCAGTCATTACATTGCCGATCCTTGATTTCACGTCTTCATCAGATCCTCACAGTTCAGTGATGATACTATCCAGCTACGTTAATTTTTCCACGTCTTCCATTGTTGTTGTTCTCTTAGTTGTATTTGAGGATCTTGCTTCTTCCATGGTGTGCAATGGGGTCTACTGCTTTAGAGACTTGTTGTTCTGCTAGTTTTATTTGAGAATTTTGGTTTGTGTGCATTGAAGTGTGACATGTCCGGTGGTCATCGTATGGTAACTATTATTAGTATTCTTCCATAGTTTACAAATCGATTTGGTTTACCATAGAGAAACAGGTACAGATAACTAATATTCCGTAGAGCTTTTAGAAAAACTGACGGATTTTCCCTGCCTTGTCAATGTAAATTAATACATGTGAATTATTCCAAATGACGTCTAGTATCGTGAAACAGTATAAACGTAATGGCAACAAACTGTAAAATTCATAAGTCATCAAAGCAGATGATTCAGGCATTTTCATATTAACGAAAAGATGATAGTGTAGATGTACTGAGCAACACAGTAGATGACACAATGATTTTTCGAAATATGTGAAATATTTGAATGGTAAATCGTAAGAAGTCACAGGTGATATGTTGGTCATGACATTCCTATCGAGACATTTCTGTTTTTTCGAAAGTATTCTTCTGAACATTAACTATCAGAAACGAGATAAGTAAATGTAAACAAAATTATGTCGTTATATATATTCCAGATATTTGGCAAGTACTCAATTGGAAGCAAACTATGCTAGGCGTGTATTTCCATGTTGGGATGAGCCGGAATTTAAAGCGAAATTCAAGGTATGAGATATTCGAACTTCTAATTGACGACAATGTTGAACCTAGCTTACTTCTGTCATGTTATGAAGCACATTGTTAGTTAAATTGAAAAAAAATTGGTTCATGATCTCGTTTTACTCACACAGATTAAAATTTATCAAAGCGCATCACATTTTTTGGAGACACCTGGCTATCTACTCAAACGTACATAAACTAAAGCTGATGTGCAAAGTCTTTATGTTAAATTAAGGAAGTTAACATAGTAGACTTAAAAATAGTAACAATCTGAAATGGCGTATCTTATCGCAGAACAATAGCGTACATAATAAGAACAACTGGTTTCTTGCACTAAATCAATGTACAGAAATAAGTTACATCACTCCCTATCATATACAACTGACCTCGAAGCTCTCCGTAAACGATGATTAGATATTCAGTGTAGATGAATTTTAAATAGAAGCATATCTTTATTTGTTTCATCACTCATGAACAATGAAAACTGTAGATGAACATCAAGCATCCGCAAATCGTACTGAGTGGGACACGACACCATCTTTCGTAAATTAGTATTCAAACGCATGTGAAAATATAGCTTATTCAGAATACAAAGTGATTTAATCAGACAACACTTCCACGACTGACCAATTAGTAATCCATCGATTCAATTAGAAATTAGTTTACAAATGAGTTAATGATTTCCACAATAATATGTGATATTATAGAAGATAACCACGATAAGAATCTTGAATTGTTTTAATTGGTCAAACATGCTACTTATACTTCGAGATCGAATTTATCACCTTCCTGTCTTTCAGGTCAATATTATACGTCACAAAAGTTTCCATTCGCTTTCGAACATGAATTTGGAAAGTACGAAAGTGTTGTACGACAACTGGCGTCTCGATACATACAACACTAGTGTGAAAATGTCCACATATTTGTTGGCAATTGTAGTTTCCCGTTTTTCAAATATTCAGAGGACAGACAATAGAGGAAGAAACGTGAGTGTTATCAATTTTATAAAAGCTTTTTCAACTCTCACTTACTTGCTTTCAATCCCATACAATATTTCCGTAATGTATCGAAATCATGCATATCCACTAAGAACCACCATGAGTTTGCATGAAAATCATCATCCGAAATGGTTCGGGATATGCATAGGTCCACGTTAGATACATGCTTCAGTCAAATCGATGTAGTTTAATCACTTGTGAGATTGAAAACAGTCTGTTGTATCATCTTTTAGGAATGATACTTTGAAGTGCATTTTAATTTTTTCATGAGACTGATTCATTTCTAGATAAAATAATCCTTTTATTTAGTTTACTGTTTGGGCAAGACCAGAAAAAATTCGATCAGCCGAATACGCACTTGATGTTGGCATAAAATTATTGGAAAACTTCGAAGATTATTTTGGTATCCCCTATTCACTTCATAAAATGGGTAGGTATTTCGCCTGAATGTGTTCCCATTTAATATATGTGTAAATAAATACTATACAATGTGAACTACGCAACCAAACAATAAGATCTAAATAACTGTAAAAGATACAGGCTCAACTAAATCTGATGTTTTTTCATTACGCTAATTATATTTTGGACTGGAGTGGATTGAATCCAAATCAAAATATTCAATTATTTAACCGAGGTAAATATATGCATATACGTGGATGTGCATAAGTAATCCGTTTGTTAAGTATGCGCAACAGTGTAATGATATGTCGTTAGAACCGTTTACATTCTAAACATATTTTCCATCATATTTTCAGATATGATCGCGATTCCTAACTCTTCAATAACGGCAATGGAAAACTGGGGTTTGATAACTTTTAGAGAAAATTTAATGTTATGGAATCCAGAAAACGGTTCAATAGCCTCCCCAATTGATGTGGCTTCCACTGTTTCACATGAACTTTCTCATCAGGTATGCTTTTTAATGAAAAACGAAACCTTAAATTCGATCTATATCTCTTTAATTTGAAGATTGTTTGGAGCATAAACCTACAGTTCTTGGAAAACGATTGAAAACTGATTCATTGTAGATTTCGTCTGCAGCAATTTCATCACACAAGATATCGGAGCCCTCCAACAAACTCGTTTTGTTTATTTCATTGAGTTAGGCTCTAATAATACACGTTTATAACTTAATTCAGTTCGTATTCATTATCCATAGACGTGTTAGATAAAATAATTGTTCAAGTGATCAAAGAGCTTCCTTAACTTACTGTCGCTTATCCATTAGCACATATGTCAGTTTTCTCAGAATTCAATTTACTGAAAAGCTAAATCACTACTTTCAATATTTTACCTGTGTTTATATTGAAAATATAGCACAACAACTATTCTCAGGTAATCAATTCTCACTAGGTGTAGTTGAACTCCATCAGTCAGCAATTTTAACTGCACCAATCGGAATCCCTTTACAACCAAGATGCAGGAACCCAATTTAAGATATCATTGCAATGCATAAGCATCGTTTATAACAATGTAATTATATGACTTGATGTAAATATCGTAACCCATTGAGCGATCTCAATATGTTACGTATATCAGTTTCCAATTTAAACACTTTTCTTTTAGTGGTTCGGAAACATAGTGACAATGAAATGGTGGGATAATTTGTGGTTGAACGAAGGTTTCGCAACGTATATGGAATACATTGGAGTACAGTCATTACATCCTGAGTGGAAAGTAGTAGGTTGAACGTTTTTTTTTGAGGATTTTATCAGTCCATTCTTTCAGTTTGCACATGTCAATTGTCATTTCCTAAAACATTCACAAGTGTTTTTCATAGAACGTGTATATCCTCTACAGAAGCAAGTATTTATAGAGAAATTCTCATCTTACTTAACACCACACATATAGAATATTTAGAAAATAACTTAATCTCTTGAAATTTACATTAATTAGAATTCTATTTTATTCATCTGAAATGATATTTTAACTTTAACCCAAGTAGTGAGCTTTGTTTGAAGAAATTTTAGAACAACATATATAAGCGAACAATATTGTTTTCCATTAGATCCTCATCAGGCTTTACTCTAATATACAGTAATATTTATATGCATATACGAAATTATTAAACCAATCAAGGCAGTTTATGAGTCAATGATAACAGTGGAATAGATTACATAATCAAAATTAATAATAAGTGAAAGTACAAATTGATAGTGTAATGACAGGTGTACTAGTTGTGATAAGAATAATAAAAGGCTTGAATCAATGTTACATAATAGGGAAATAGGTCAATGATTAGAAAAAATATAGACACTGAAATAACATTCATAGAAATTATAAGATTACGTAATAAGAAGTGTTCAGATAATTGGAAGCGAAAATTAGAAAAATTATAAGTAAATAATTGATAGGGGGGTGAAGAAAAAATAAACTAAGAAAGTGTATGGAAAATAAAATTATTTATTAAGGCCAAGGGAGAGATAAGGGTGTTACAAATTTCTTATGAACACAAAGACTTGGGTTGTCGGATCGAATTCCTATAGCTTCTGCTATGTGTAGGAGACGAGATCGAACCCCATAAGGAAAAATAGTAGGAATACGATAAATAACTTTAAAAGACTGGTTTCTGTCAACTTTATGACCGCTATCAATCAAGTGTGAAAGAATCGAGCTCCGTATCGACTTGACCATACCTTTTCCTAACCACGAAGGGAGGTGTTCACTAACTCTTTGGTTCAATTGTCTGGTAGTGCGCCCAATATAGCTTTCTCCACAGGAGCAGCTGAATTTATAGATACACATAGAAGTAGCATAACCAGGCAACTTATCCTTTAGTTGGGGAATCACCATAGATCGTGTCGAGTAAGAAAGAAAGAGATCGGCAGCATTAAACGTTCTCTTAACTGCTTTAGTCAGTCTATCCCGTAGTACATCATCAGCTAAATCGCCGTTGAATTGTAGTTTCAGGAAGAGTGGTTTCTTCGCAGCTGTTGATATCTTTACTTTCTTATTTGTTGAATGTAAATGTTTATTCAGGAATCCTTGTGGATAACCCCTTTCAATCAACATATTATGGATAATCTCTAGCTCATTGTTGATAGAATCGACTGAGCAAATCTTCCTAGCTCTATTTGTCAGACATTTGACTAGGTTACTTTTATAGTAGATAGGTACGAAGCTTAAGAAGTGCGTGTACTGGCTAGATGAAGAGCTTTTCCTAAACAAACTTCTACTGATGGAACCGTTCGCTTTTTTATTAACAATACGTCAAGGAAAGTTTGTTTAGGAAAAGCTCTTCATCTAGCCAGTACACGCACTTCTTAAGCTTCGTACCTATCTACTATAAAAGTAACCTAGTCAAATGTCTGACAAATAGAGCTAGGAAGATTTGCTCAGTCGATTCTATCAACAATGAGCTAGAGATTATCCATAATATGTTGATTGAAAGGGGTTATCCACAAGGATTCCTGAATAAACATTTACATTCAACAAATAAGAAAGTAAAGATATCAACAGCTGCGAAGAAACCACTCTTCCTGAAACTACAATTCAACGGCGATTTAGCTGATGATGTACTACGGGATAGACTGACTAAAGCAGTTAAGAGAACGTTTAATGCTGCCGATCTCTTTCTTTCTTACTCGACACGATCTATGGTGATTCCCCAACTAAAGGATAAGTTGCCTGGTTATGCTACTTCTATGTGTATCTATAAATTCAGCTGCTCCTGTGGAGAAAGCTATATTGGGCGCACTACCAGACAATTGAACCAAAGAGTTAGTGAACACCTCCCTTCGTGGTTAGGAAAAGGTATGGTCAAGTCGATACGGAGCTCGATTCTTTCACACTTGATTGATAGCGGTCATAAAGTTGACAGAAACCAGTCTTTTAAAGTTATTTATCGTATTCCTACTATTTTTCCTTATGGGGTTCGATCTCGTCTCCTACACATAGCAGAAGCTATAGGAATTCGATCCGACAACCCAAGTCTTTGTGTTCATAAGAAATTTGTAACACCCTTATCTCTCCCTTGGCCTTAATAAATAATTTTATTTTCCATACACTTTCTTAGTTTATTTTTTCTTCACCCCCCTATCAATTATTTACTTATAATTTTTCTAATTTTCGCTTCCAATTATCTGAACACTTCTTATTACGTAATCTTATAATTTCTATGAATGTTATTTCAGTGTCTATATTTTTTCTAATCATTGACCTATTTCCCTATTATGTAACATTGATTCAAGCCTTTTATTATTCTTATCACAACTAGTACACCTGTCATTACACTATCAATTTGTACTTTCACTTATTATTAATTTTGATTATGTAATCTATTCCACTGTTATCATTGACTCATAAACTGCCTTGATTGGTTTAATAATTTCGTATATGCATATAAATATTACTGTATATTAGAGTAAAGCCTGATGAGGATCTAATGGAAAACAATATTGTTCGCTTATATATGTTGTTCTAAATCACAATATGGGAATTTTTCAAATTTTGAAGACATTTTGTAATTAAAAGAGAAAAATTTAATAGATTTTCTAATGGTACGTGCAGAATCGACAAATACCAAGACGATTAGTGACCTCTAATTAAGTAACTGAGAATGAATATATCTAGACTACTTTATAATTACATTGAGGATAATATTGTTATCAATAAAAATGATTTAATTTTTCGATGAACAGGATGAACTATTCATATTGGACGAATTAATTCATGTACTTCGTAGTGATACTTCGAAGAAATCAAGACCAGTTATTTTTCCAGCTAATACTACGACACAAATTGAAAGAATGTTTGATTTAATCACCTACAGTAAGGTTAGTTCTGTAATGACTGTTAATTTTTTCAAATGTAGTAATTTAAATTTTAATACTATTTTGATGATTATCAAAGTAATCATGATATCGAGCAGAATAATGATATTTCTGTCAACAAGTTCTGTTGACAGCTTGCATGAGTATGGGTTCAAGTATTCGATATAACCGTTTTGTTACTGAGAAACTTGTTACTCATAACAATTTCAAAATATATCTCTTTAGTCGTCTATAAAGCTGTGTAAATGATTGATGTATCCGAAAATTTAACTAACCTCTTGATATTTGAAATCATAAGGTTCATAGTTCTATCATATTTGCGATCAACAGAAATGTGCTTATTTTAACAAGGTCATACAATAAAATGTCATTAATGTTTAATATTGAACTTTATATTTAGCTTTAAGACCCCGGAAACGTGTATTTCATTTACATGATAGAAATTAGTCACGACTTGAATGGATGTATAACATTTGTTAGACCGAGCAAATCAAATGACTTCTAATTGAACATTTTGAAACAATCTGCACGCAATAATAATTCTCTAAAGTTCTTACGTGAATTAACTGAACTATAATATGCAGTCAGATTTTAATCTAAGTGAATTCACTATAATGCGAAGGTATTTAGTATTCAACCATGTGACTTGACTTTATTATCCATTTGGAATAAAATCATTGGTATACTATTTTCGACTGAACCTTGAGATTCCCAAGTAAACTGATTGAATAAACTACTTTACCTACACATTCATCCCATGTTTGATATATCCTGATATTCCACATTGCATTCGATAATTCACAGGGTGCCTCATTGATTTGGATGATGGAGAAATTCATGGGCCGTAGTGCCTTTCAAAACGGCTTAAAAGTACGTTGACAATGTTTATTTTTCTGTAACTTAGTGTCACATTCTAAAGTAAACGGATTTCTTTTGGTGAAGAGTGGGTTAAATATTTTAGTTCTTTCTGAGATTTGCCATTACGAAGATTCCTAATGTCATTTAGTTACCTATGAATCAATATGATTCAACCCATCACAACCCACTACTAATTGATAACTACAGTCTTCAACACACTTACTCCTTTAAACTCTAAAACACGTTTTTATCAACAGACACTTTACTTAAAAAAAGATTTAAATTCGTATGTCATCATGAACAAATGGAAAATGCTTTTAAAAATAAATGTTGACTGATTAAATTATAAGCCATATTCACTGTAGCTAAATCAGGGAGATATTTTATATCAAGCTGTTGTAAATGCCGTTACAAAAAAAATAATGTTAAACAGACTTCATTCACCGTTATAACTTATAAATCGTAGGTTGAAATTGTATCCCACTTAAATAAGTACAATTTATCTGTCATTATGTCATCAATTGCATGAGCGTGGGTGAAATCCTTGAATATAAACTCACTCCGAAAAATATAAAATCTATTTGAGAGTAATTTTATCATGAATATTTAAAAAGTTTGATGTTCCTAATGAGGAGAGAGATCAGTGTATGCAACATTTTGAAAGATACTTGTTGAACAATGGTCCATTATATCGTCGTGTTTATTCTATATTCACATATACTCACTGAATTGATGCTTGATATTACATTTATATATATATATATATATATATATATATATATATATATATATATATATAGTTTTGTTAGAGATCCATTTGCTGAACTTTATGTTTTTAATGGTCTAACAATAATGTGACAAGGATATTAGTATGGTATAAGAAAACGGAATCATTGATTAAAAAAAAACACCAACAATATCTGATTTGTGAATTTTAGATGATTATTTTGGTTATTGTTGTTACGTTCATCAACCTCCCATCAACATGAAAATTATTTAGACTGTGCATTTGATTCTAAAAGAAAGCGGGAACACAATACTGAATTGAAGAAAACGGAATCATTGATTAAAAAAAAACACCAACAATATCTGATTTGTGAATTTTAGATGATTATTTTGGTTATTGTTGTTACGTTCATCAACCTCCCATCAACATGAAAATTATTTAGACTGTGCATTTGATTCTAAAAGAAAGCGGGAACACAATACTGAATTGTAATGTCTGTCGTGTATGCTTGAATTCTACGATTTTATTCATGATTACTTGCAAACTGTTATCGTGAAATGCTTTATGTAATACGTTTTTCTGTATTTATTCAAGAAATATTTAATTCAAAATCAATATAAGAACACAAATGAAAAGGATTTATGGAAAGCATTATCTAACGTAAGTATTTGTTGAAGATTACATTAATATAAGCACATCTGGTGTAATCCATTTAGGCGTTGACATTCTTTCATAATTTCTCTTGATCTTGATTGTTATTACTGAACAGAAGTATAGCCTTGAAATATATTTAAAAAAAGATCAAGTATTTATGGTATTATCTAATGATCAATTTCGTGATTCATATACTTATATACTACCTGTTTTCTCACACTATTCTTACTTATTCTTTGTTATTTTTCACAGAAAATACTAGACTCTGTAATAGTAGTAGTAGTAGTAGTAGAAAGATTTTCGTTCGTTGACTCATTCCGTCGAATTTAACTAGATTTTGATTGCAGTGATAAAACCTCAGTAATCAGTTTGTGTATGTGACCATGCTTGATCATGCTCCATTAAATTATTCACCCACCTATTACATTCCTAATAATCAACTTATGGTGAATGGTCCGAAAAACTGAGTTATTCTCACTATTTCATTTCCGCACAAAGTTATGCCCACCACTATTCTCAAAACTTGCCTCACATTATAGAAATACAATAACATTTGCGATACTGTAAAATTATTCATCAGAACTATAAGGAAAATATCCAAATCATAATTTTGTTTTAATTGCATATTAGGAATGGAATGCTCAAGGAAATCATTTAGACATTGAATTCATTATGGATTCTTGGACTAAACAAATGAATTATCCACTAGTAATTGTAAGAAGATATGGGTCAAACATGTTCTGTTTTGAGCAGACACGTTACCTTAAAAACTGTGATAACAATTCACTACCAGAGAAACATGAGTAAGTGAACTATATTTTAATTTAGACAACATTCGTATTCAGAGATTATATATAAAGAAAAGTGAGCCTGTAATGTATTGTAATAAGTTATCTAAAATCTCTTTCATTAACGAATTGATATGACGAAATAAAAAGGCAAAATCAAATTTAACTAATTGTGGCTTTTGATGAACATGTCTACCGTTTTTTACTCAGTCTATTATTTGTTTAGTTTTCCAGTATGGTATTTCATTTTGCGTAACATTATTTTTATTTCAGTGTGGTGTTCATTCAAGATACGATATACTCGTCATAAATTAACATGACCTTTGCTTAGCATGACATGCACCATATGATATGTTGAAACTCCAGGAATTTTGCATACATGTGATTTTATCCCAATCAAAAATTGGTGTACAATCGATATATGATGAGTGTATGTTTGTTGTCGTGTTTTTGGGTCAATTAATCTTCACTTGTACCAATATCGGTGTTCTTAATTCGTGTTGTCGGGATTGCAGTGGTCTCTCGTGTTTTCAAGTATTAAGTGACACGGATATAACGATTATCGACGAGGATTTCAGAAAGGTGAAAGCCATAAAAATTGCGGACGTGGTAAATCTGCATGTTCCAGTTTTTCAATGTAACCGTCTGGTTCCACTTAATACTCAGTTTTCAGTCGAACTTTCCACTGAAAGCTGTTTTTTTCAGTTGTAAATATACTTCTTCGTTTCCATTCATCAAGTCACCATTACAGTAGGGTATGCGGACGTAACACCGATCATAACAGTTTTGCTTTACATCTCAAGATAATTCATCGAACCATCATTCCAAACACAGAAATCTTATTTTTATATCATGTCGATGGTGACCTTATTTGAACTGTCGCACTTTGTCTGAGCCAAATCATTACTGAGCTGGGATTCATCAACATAAGCGACAATATTCATTAGACTTATTAACGCTTAGAATACTTCTTTATGGTCAAGTTAAAATTTTTCCTATCATCACGTAGAACACAATGTATACTGTTGAAATATGTGCGGACTAAATATGATCATTTTCAAAATACCAAGGTTTACTTACCACAATTTGAGCTGTCTTTATTGATTAAAAACAGAATTATTTCTCACAAGAAGAGGTCGTAATTTCCTCTTCGTTATTGATATAACTTTTAAAAGCGAAATATCTGATATTTAGTGTTAAAAAGAAGACAAGTCAATCTCTGAGATTCAAGAACAGAGGAATAGATAGGTAGAACAGTTTGAGAAACTCATGGATAGACCATCTCCATTGGATCCAACAGATATCCAAGCAGCACACACAGACCTTCCTATAGATGTCACTCCAACAACGATCAAAAAATCAGGATAGTCATCAGACAAATCAAGAATGTGGAAATAGTAGGACCTGATAATATACCAGACGAAGCATTGAAGACAGACACACAAGCAACTGCAAACACGCTCGACGTTCTGTTGAGGAAGAGTAGGGAGGAGGGACAAGTGCCACTGACAGATTGGAAACAAGGATACCTAATGAAGCTGTCAAAAATAGAAAGGAGATCTGAGCAAATGTGAGAACTACAGAGGAATCACAATGCTATCGAAACCGAGAGAAGTTTCTCACAGTGTTGCTGAACAGTATGAAAGACTCAGTAGACGCCCAACTTCGAGATCAACAAACTGCATTCCATAAGGATCGGTCGTGCACAGACTGAACCGTGACATTACGGATCATCATTGAACAATCAAGTGAATGGAACTCTTCACCATACATCAACTTTCTTGGTTATGAAAAAGCGTTTGATATTGTGTAGGATAACATTTTGGAACCTTCTTCGACACAATGGAGTACCTGAGAAGATTGTCAATATCATCAGGAATTCGTACGACAGAATACAGTGCAAAGTGTTGTATGGAGGACAGCTGATAGATGCAATGCAAGTGAGGACTGGAGTCATACAAGTTTGTCTACTCTCCCCTTCCTCTTTGTTTCTCGGGTTGACTTGATAATGAAGATCTCCACATCTGATGACCGATAAATCGTGGTGGAGCTCGGAGTCAGTGAAACACATTGGACCCAACCTGGACAAGAATTCGAAATCTTGCTATTGTACTTAACTGAGAATAAGATAATTACCACAACCATCATCAAACGAGTACAAGTATTTGTAAACAATTGTCTACTTAAGATATCTACTATCTGTCGATCAGATACTATCAGCAAAAGCCTACTGTGGGAGAGAAAGAACCAGATTCGAAATGAAGAGGAAGTTGGAAAAAGACGTGGAAGTCAATAAGACATGCATTGTGGAATCATCAACCCACATCATGAAGCAAGCACCAACTTGGAATATTGAATAGGAACAGAAAAGAGGAAGACCAAATAACACACTGCTGTGTGTATTAGAAGAAGCCATCAAGTGGATGAATGTGAACTGGAAACAGCTGTGGGGGATTGTCCATGACAGAGTTGGATGGAGAATGCTGTTGGTCGGTCTATGCTCCTCCACGACGTTGGGTAACAAACGTAAAGGTAGTGATATTTAGTAGTGGGTTTAACCGTTTGTGTATTCCTTTGTATTTACTCTGGAAATCCAACTTGACATCAGTCGATTATGTAGCATTATCATCAAATGTTTTTTAACGGTAGTCGATAAAATTTCCGATTTTTGAAAACAAAATTTATAGTCTTGTATCTTTTAATGTTCACTAATTTACGTTTTTTTTCATTCAGATACTCCTGGATAATACCAATTACTTATGGGTCAGCGAAAACGGTGAACTGGACAGATGCTGATATTTTGTGGATGGTGAACAGTAAGAAAAACCATTTTCCGTTTTCATCAATATAATTAGTTATTATGCTTCACATACATGTACGTATGTAGCGCCACATTCTGAAACTAGGCTGTCGGGCTGACAATCCTCTCTCAATAATGAAACAAACGTTTTCCTATCCAACATATGTGGCAATAACTTATACGGAGACACCTTTGAAACCCTACATAGAAGAAAATGGTCCATCACTCCTTAAATACTAAACAAAAGAAGTGAAAATAATCACTGAAACATCGCGATCTTACTCAGCTTTAACTATTTATCTTGATTCATATTAAACTGTCACTATTACAATATTAATTATTCACTTGATTATTCCTCCCTTCCATTAGAGACAATGAATCAAACAATGAACATAAGTTCAGACGACTGGTATTTGTTGAATGTAAGACAAGAAGGATTATATCGAGTTCATTATGCCGACAATAATTGGAAATTATTAGTCAATCAATTGCAACGGAACTTCATGGTCTGTTTTTCTGCTTGAGAACTCACTTTTTATATCAAATATTTTAAATATAATCTTGTTAATAACATAGAAATTGATATATTTGCATATTTATGAGGACGAATGTTGTAGAAAGTGATTTGCGATACAGGATATTCTAACATGAAATTGTAAGGATGGATCCTTTACATTGTTAATATCCACCTTTATTCATCGATTTAAAATGTTTTCATTTAAAACACACCAATTTTTTACGTCATACGGCATGACCACTTACCAATTAAACATATAAACCACATAGTAAATAATTTTTCGTCATTTGACATAAGTACTCAATTACATAAATACTTATTTACTTGTTTATCAACCCAATCGCTTGCTTACTAACTTGCCTACCTACTTACTTACATATGAATTTAATGAATTTCTGTCCATTGATAATCCTCACGAGAGCGTAGGCTGCCAACCACGACTCTCCAAACTATTCTATCCTAGCCTACTTCCCAATTGTTGGCAAATACTTCCCATTCCTTTGATGTATGCCTTGAATTCTCAACACAATATGTTCTTTGATCTTCCTCCTTACATCTTACCCTCCGGTTTAGAAGTGAAATATTGTCTCGAGATACAATCTGATGGTTTCCATAAAGTATATCGTAACCACCTACAACGTCTCGCCCTAATTTCCCTTTCAGATGGAAGTTGGTTTGTTCTCTACCATGGTGGGTTGTTGTTACTGGCATCCGGTCAGCCGATATTGAGCATCTTTTGTAAATGATTGTTTACGAACACATGTACCTGCTGATGATGATTATGACAGTTCTCCAATCTTCAGCTCAGTATAACAGAACTATCTCGATGTCTGTATTGAAGATTCTGAATTTGGTATTGACTGACAGTAGTTTTGGGAATCACATGTCTTCAACTGTGGGAAAAGTGTCGTCACGTTGCAAAGCCTTGCCTCCGCATCGGCATCACATCATCCTAGTTAATCGATGATACTTCCCACATACATGAATGTTTCCAGCCCTTCCAGAGCTTCTCCATCAAGTGTGATATGGTTGGTTTTCTGAGTGTTTTAGTTCAAGATCTTGCTTTGTCCTTAGTTAATGTTGAGGCCGAATGCTGTAGAGGCTGCTGCTACACTGGTGTGCTTAATATTGAAGAGCTAGGTCATCTACTAATTCCAAAATGTCTAAGTGAATCAAAACAGTCCAATGTATTCTGTGCTTCTCCTGAGGTGTGTTTGTTCTCACATTCCAGTTGACTGCCAGGAGAAAGAGCAAGAACGATATTAGATATCCTTGCATGATGACACCTCTTACGACACAGAAACACCAGGCGTGTCGAAGTTACTGTCTCTTTAATCTTATTTCAGTTGATTCCTATGTTATATTCTAAATGTCTGAGTAGAATTTTCAAGCCTTCGAATATTTTACTGAGATCAATCTTGAATTCGTTGAAGCTGTCGGTATCTAGTAGAAAGACTGTATTTCGATGTTGGTTTGTTCTCTGAGCTGGATGGTTTGGTCGTGGAGCTTTCATCGTTATTCTGAACGACATCATCAGCACAAACTTCGGATAGAAGTGAAGTGTTTGAATTTCTCCACATGTGATTCACAGCTTGTCCTCTGCACCTCGATGTTGATTGGTTCTTATTGACCTTAAATCTGTCATTGTTTATTTCTTTGTTTTGGTTGTATCTCCTATTGGTTTGATTTTTGTTCCTATGTTCCTGCATAATTTTCTTCATTGGTTGATAGATTGGATTGATTTCAATATGTTTGTTTATTGCTGATTGACCCGAGTGCCAAGCTTCTAAAAATTCGCTGGTATTTTTGGAATTGCCTCTGTCCAAAATCTGCACATTTTCCCAGTCGAATGTATGTCCGTAGTTGTCCACGTATATTGACATGAGTAAAGAAACGTCGTGGCGTTTGACTGCGAACTGGTGTTCATGTAGGCGAAGATGCAGGGGGCGTCCGCTTTGTCCAATATAGTGTTTGTTGCAGTTGGTACAATTTATCTTGTAGATGATGTTTGTTTTGTCCTCTTTTGCCATTTCATCTTTTGGTTTGCATAAGATTGAGTGGAGGGACTTTGTTGGTTTGTGGGCTACACCTATTCCGAAGGTTTTCAGCAGCCTTGTTGTCGTTTTCGATATGCCCTTTATGTATGGTAGGGAGATCCTTTTGTTAATTTTTATACTTGATTTCGTTTCTGATGGTGTGTGCGACTGGTATTTTTTGATGAAATTGGTTGGATAGCCGTTCTTTTGAAGAATGGTTTTCAGGTGTTCTTCTTCATTTTTTCGTGCTGTAATTATATTGCAGTGTGTTCTCGCCCTCTTGAACAAAGTTTGTATACAGTTGATTTTGTGAGTTCTTGGGTTGTTGCTATTGTAGTTGAGAATTTGATCGGTGTGGGTCGGCTTCCTGTGCACTTGAGTCTCCAGTTTTCCTGTGTCAGTTCTGGTGATTAATACATCTAAGAATGGTAACTTGTTGTCCGACTCTTGTTCCATTGTGAACTTGATATCGTTGAAGACGTTGTTGATCTGCTTGTAGGTGTTTTCTAGTTCATCCTTTTTGACGATGACGAATGTGTCGTCTACATAACGAATCCAAATTTTTGGTTTGATCACTGGTAGAATTGTGGTTTCTAGTCGTTGCATTACTGCTTTCGCGATGAGTCCTGATATTGGTGATCCCATTGGTGTCCCTTTTGTTTGTTTGTAGATTTTGTTGTTGAATTGGAAATATGTTGTTAGACATAGATCTATGAGTTCAAGTAGGCTTTGACTTTGAAGTTTCGTGTATTTCGCGAGGTTTTTGTCGTTGGTTGGAAGCAAGGACAAAGTTTCTTTTGCTAGGTTTGGTTCAATTGAAGTGAATAGTGCTGTTACATCGAAGCATATCATTAGTTCGTCGTCGTTGATTTGGATGTTCCTAATCTGACCAAGGAATAGTGTGGCTGATTTGATGGAGTGGTTCGACGAATCTACTAAATGTTTCAGTATTCTTGAGATTTCTCTTGATAAATTGTACGTTGGTGTTCCTGGTACTGTTACAATTGGGATGTTTGGTTTGTGTATCTTTGGTCTGCCGTAGAACCGAAGGAGTACTGGTCCATTAGATTTCATTCTCCATTGATCTTGCTTCGTTATTTCTCCTGCTTTGACGAGTTTGTTTTAAGTTTTTGAAATGCGATTGTCTAGTTTTTTGGCTGGATTTATGTAATTAGTAATTAGTAAGAATAAAAACACGCATATGGTTGTCAAATAATTAGTCGGCCTTATATCAGTCCTCGAATCGGTTTATTAGAGCTGGCGATATAAATGAATGATATAACTAAAGATATACTTCGATGTGAACCTTACTTGAATGAGATAAGACTACCACACACGACGATTTAACATCACAATAAAACGAATTTTGTTTTAGGGTGTTAACCCATAATTTTAGTCTTTCACTTAGTATCTCAAATTAGCATGTGATTTATTTGAAATCACATTCCTTTTATAGACTGTCTTTTACATTGTGATTCTATTTTTACAATGCATTTCAATTTTTATTTAATTTTTAACGCCTAGGCTATTCCAGTTTACTCACGCACACAAATCTTGAATGATTTATTCAGCCTTGCAAAGTAAGTGTGAAGTAGAAAGAAACCGATTTCTTTTTGGGATGCTATTTATTCTGTTACAAAATGTCAAGCTAATTTATAACTTTGATTCGAAATACCACTTGATAATACGAAAAATTGATGGAAAATAGTCGAAATGTAAAAACACTTAGTATTCGACAACTCATATCATTTGAATGTAATATAAATACGTTTTAGAACCTGAATATTCTTAGTGAAATCCACCCATGATCTGAAACCAATTCTTATAGGAATACAAACTAGTACAACAGTTTGTGAAATGTGCAAAATAATTAGGAAAACGAACAGTAAGCTGGATAAGAGATATATGCAATGAGTTGAACTGAAGTCGACGTATACATAGACGTTATAAATACTGAAATAATTCAAATTGGAGTTTACGAAACGTTTGTATTAACTAATATATCTATTGAAAACCAAGTTCATACATTCAACCTCCAAAATATCTATATAAACCTTCAGATAATAAAATGATATATCAATATCATCAAAAAGGGTTATCGTACACTATACGCTAAATTGTTGAAAACATTTGTCAACACCACATTAATAGAAAAATGTTTATTAGTTACTCGTTTAATACAGATTGAAACAAATAACTTGTCCGGAATGAGTAATTACATAGACATATAAACGAAGAATACCCTTCTCAATAAATTCTCTTAAGGTTCTACAAATAAATATCGTAACTAATAATCCGAAAAGAATGGAGACGTTTCAGCTTAGAAAATTTTCCTTCTGACAATATCATTTTTGGAAGCTGTACAATGGTATTCATAGGTAATTTTTACATGTAGTGTTCTACGGTAAAATGGAGGGGTTTTACATAGTTATCATAGATAATCAAAATTATTCAAGTGGAAGTCAATAGGAACAAATTGGTTTTATGTAATATAAAAAACGTTATCAGGTTACGTAATGGATTGTGAAGTTATAAGAGGTATAATCTATAGAAAAAATGTCAAAGATACCTGTCTACCTAATCAAGGAGGAGAAGAAGAAGGTAATAATTGGCAGTGATGGTTTGTGACATTCGAAGGGGTGCTTAGACCTTGAGAGAATAAAGGACTAAACATGATTTTTGTGTACATAAATTTTGGATGTGAAATAGCGAATTTCTATAGACTCAGCTGTGAACAAATTACTCATCTCAGTCTTTTTGAGCCAATTATTTTCAATTTGGGGTTAACTCACAACTATCTATTTTATTTTTCTTCGGCCTCCTTGTTAGTCATCATATCGTACAGTATACTCTTTTCCTGAACGCGACAAAGTATTTGAATCGTGAAAATCAGTTTATTGTATGGATAACAAGCAGCCGAGCGTTTCGATACATTAACAGCATGCTTGTTTTGAATGAGAATTATGACGTTTATCAAGCATATTTGCGAACCCTCCTTGATAATCAAATTCGATCAGTGAATTGGTCATTTGTTAGTGAAGTTCAACATCCTCTAAAGATGTGAGTAATGATATTTCCATCTCTTATGTCTTCACTCTGTCATATCAATTAATCACTCAAAACTTTCTCAGAAGCCTTATGGAAGACATTCACCATAAAATGATGAAATTACCAGCATTGTTAATACAAATGCTATCTTAAGCAGAAAGTAGTAGAACAAAAGATGAAACGAACTCTTTCTGAGAGGAGTGACATTCATTGACCCGGGGTTTGAATGTCTGAACTTTATAAATAAACTTGGACGGTACGAATATAGGGATTTAAGGATAAGTGATGGAAAAGTTGTTCTTCGAATTGAGTGTTACTGTTATTACAAACGCACTTTTGTTGCCTGAGTAAACTTGGTAATTGACTGTTTGTGGTGAATTTTTGTAGTATGGTTAGCTGAAATCCATCTAGTATAGTCGGTTCTGATGGGATGTCAAAGGTTGCAACTCTTTCATTTCAATTTTATTCTTATGGAAACTCAATCGGTTCCATTTTGTTGTAAGAAACCTGTAGCAAAACAAAAACCACATTAAATCTATGAGTGCCATATGATACTAACGTTTGTCAGTAGGCATTAAGAAGAAATGCACTATTACGTTTTTTCTTGATCCCGTAAAAACGGGAATTAATTCATTCCGTTATGTAGATTGAAGTTGTGAATTATCGTGACAAAAGAGAAAATTGCTAAAAGTTACGTGTACATAATTGTCCAGAGAATGACTATGTATATCATTCAAAGAAAGTAGAAAAAATCATTAATTTTTCATCGACTTCAATGATTGGTTTCTTATCGACAAACAAAATTCTAATTATACTATTGATTATTATTGCTGAAAGCATTCACAGAGGGAAAATTATTTTCCATTTGATTATTTCAATGAATAATGTTAACCTATCATTTGGGCTGGTGAAAATCCTCATATGTGTTTAAACGTGTGAATATATTAAAGTAGTAGGATAACGTAAACGGTAACAGCTTGCCGTTAAAATGAGATGAAAAAGTTTTTCATCCAAAAATACAAAAATCACCAGATCGTCAATGCTATGTCGACCGGTGAGTTTAGAGATATTCAATTCTTCGTAAAGGGATAACAAAACAGGTTTCAGGATAATCCAACATGTAGAATCATTTTAAAGTGAATACATTTTGTTTTAGCTACAAAATCGCGGAAATTTTCAATTTCATAAGAAAAGTTGATCTATTATTCTCATTGAGCATCTTCAGGGATCTCCATGATATTTTGTCTCTATCAACTATCTGACTACTGCACTAATAATAAACGTATCGGCTTAAAAGGATTACGTATACACATCTTTATATTTATTAAGTTATAACTTAGCTATCTTTACACTATTTACTCGTTTTTAGGCGTTCATACTATGCCGTGATCAAGCTCGCTTGTATAGCTGAACATCATCTTTGTGTGAACAAAACTACGGAACTCTTCAAACAATGGATGTCGGAGCCCAAAACAAACCCGTTAGTCGTACAACTCATGAACTTTATATTATAAAATAAACTGTATAATACGCTTTTATGTTAACATTAGTTTTATTTGAACAAACGTTTAAAACTCAGTTTAAACTAGACTATGTAATCAATTTGTTTTTGTTATGATCAATAACGAATGCCTTAATAGTTGGTCAATGTTACGGTTTCCTAAATCTGAAGACCAAAAGAATCGGTAAGCACAGTGAAACAACTGTGAAAATGATGTATATTGTAAATAGATGATTTGTGCTACCTGGATTTCTCAACCCGTCGGAACTAACTCGCGTGAATAATTACAGGTTGAAAAATGTTTATAGAATATCATCTAATGATTGTATGAATAAAAGATAATCATTTGAGGGAAATCTTTGAAATAACTCCAGATTGGACAGTTATACACCATTCTGAACAATGCACTTTAATGTACGTGTTACATTTGAAAATGAGTATAAGTGCTTGCGTCATGTGCATAAGGTAAAAATGAAAAGAGCCTTATTATATATATATATATATATATATATATATATATATATATATATATAAGCGCAATATACGAATGAGCGTAACGCTATAGTGATACGAATGGAAATCGTTTTGACGATGTCGTGCCAAGAAAACTCATGAATTCTGTAAGCAAAGGAATAACTGATACCCAACGTATTCTATTCTAAATAAATGTTAACAAAGCTTGGTATTCACTTCCCATTCATAAATCTCTAGAAATAATTTCAATTCAATAGAATGAAAGTAACTTCTTCTTTCACCTCTCTTTTATTTCAAAGAATACGACCTGATTTGAGACTCATTACTTATTGTACAGCTATTCGTTTTGGTGGTCAAAAAGAATGGAAATTTTTAAAAAGTCAGCTGATGTTAAATGATTCTGTGAACGAGGAAGAGAATGAAAAGAAAGTGCTGGCGTTGGCGTGTTCTCGTGATGTAGGGATTATGAAAAAGTAAGTTAAAATGTGACCCTCAATTTTATTCTGTCACACCTCTTAGTGATAACGTTAACCAGACTAAATGTTTTAAATCCCTATTCCTATCAACTGATAAATATGCGCACAAAATCCAAGTCTGTCTGTTGTAATCGAAGATTTCACTACATTGGCATAAAATTGTCTGGAATTATATGTGGCGATGACTATATTTGAATAATTGGAAAGAAATATGTTTGTACTCATTCAACAGTGATTGAACAACCAAATACTGTCAAGACTAATGAAAGTTTTCAATATGAGTTTACACCAACTCATCCTTAGATATAATGGGATATAAAACAGGTTTTTAATTTATGGTTGGAACTACTTAAAACTAGATTACTCACATTTTTGGACCGAGTCTATCAAGTACCATTAAGTCTCGATTAAACTCGATAAATTTGAACCACTGATCCAAAATTTAATGGTTTACATTGTTCATTTTAGTCGATTCACTTCTATATCATAATTGTCTCAAATTTAACTACATGAAGATTTCTTGAGACCAGTAAAGTTTTCACATGTTAATTAGTGTAGTGAGCAAAACACTAGTTGGGGACAATCGAATGTATTTAAGCAAACATTACAGACTATCTCAATAAATTCTGATAACCAAACAATGAACAGTCAATTTGCAAATTAACAACCAATTGTTTCAATCTGCACTGTTTCTTCTCTTATTCCATTGCTCATGCATTTTCCAGACGTTTGCGTTTCATTTCAGTACTTTCTTCATCGGTCTTCTGCCAAAATACACCATATACTACTTATATAGATATAAGTAGACCACACCACATTAGCAGTTATCTCATAATTATCATCAAATTTCAGAGTACACGAAACTTGAAAATCAACTAGAGCCCAACGATTTATATTGAACAACATTTTTTCTATTCAACAAAATAACTCACTGATAAACGTAATCAACATCAGTGGGATTACCAATATCAAGACTTATTGGAAAGCAGTGATGCAAAGATTGAAAGCTTTAATTTCACCAGTAATCAGACCGAGAATATAATTTCGTTATGTGTTAGACAAATTCGTCGTCATCAAAAAGGACGAGCTTAGAAATACGTACAGTTATATCAACAACATCTTTGACAGATAGAATTCACTAAGGAAAAGAGAAGGAATTACCACGAATACCAATCATCTTAGCCAAAATTTTTATCAATCATTCTTTATTCCTGACCCTCATATCATTTTATTTTACAAATGCAAAAGTTTGTAAAAACAAATTAGCACGAAACACCTACTTAGCCATACATTTCTTTCATGTTTTCATCAGGCATTTAAATTGGGTAAGAGAGAACAAGGAATTTTGGGACACGCTTTACTATTTTGCGCAATCTCCAGTCGGTAACCGACTTTTATGGGACTACCTGAGTGATATAGATAATTTTGTTGAACAAAAGTGAGTTTGTCAGTCAATAATTTAGATTTTGTAGACTTTTTTCATCCATGCTTTCACATGTGAAAAATCCTATTGAAAATCTCAACCTTTTGATAAACATAGTAATTTATCTCGTCCAAATGTTTCAACTAATGTAATTTTAAGTCGGTTGAAATAACAATAGATCAGAGGGGGTTTTGTGGAGAATTTAGTATTTTCACAGTTGAAATCATGAGTCAATTGAAGCTAGACCACCATCGAAAACCTGGAAGCACTGGACGGCCGTTTCGTCCTATTATGGGACTCCTCAGCAGTGCGCATCCACGAACCCGCTCTCGCGAGCGAGATTCGAACCCAGGACCTACCACTTTCGAGCCGAAGCCCTTAACCGATAGACCACTGAGCTGGCATCCAACGGTGTTAATGTCTAACTTCACCGTTGGATACCAGCTCAGTGGTCTATCGGTTAAGGGCTTCGGCTCGAAAGTGGTAGGTCCTGGGTTCGAATCTCGCTCGCGAGAGCGGGTTCGTGGATGCGCACTGCTGAGGAGTCCCATAATAGGACGAAACGGCCGTCCAGTGCTTCCAGGTTTTCGATGGTGGTCTAGCTTCAATTGACTCATGATTTCAACTGTGAAATAACAATAAACAATTAGTACAAGGACTAGTAAGTTACACTAAGAAACTCATTCCACCGCCAATCATTTACTCACATCAACTGTTATAATGTAAACAAACGTTCTGATGCAAATGTGCTGACGTGTCCAATTACAGAAACTTGATCTTCGACGTCATCGTTAATTCATGAAGACAATCTATAACTTGTATATCAATATTGAAACATCTGTATGAGAAATATTTCACATGAATTGAAACAAGTGACAAGCATTTTTGTCGACTATTATTATCCATCCAAATAAAATACACACAGTTTGTTGTTTGTAACTATTATGGTCAGCAGCTGTCCGATATATATATATATATATATATATATATATATATAAATTGGAAAGTGATTCTATCGATTGTTTATTTCTGAATCAAATCCCCCACAATTTCTACTAATCTCGTCTCGATGGTTTACTTAAGTCACCCATTCATTTCAGAACGGAAATATCTTGATTGAACATTATAATTGTCCAGTTAGCACTACTCAGTACTCAGTCATTCCTATATGGATATTAATCTCTGATGAAAACTAACCAAAGGCATTTCGCATTTTGCTTTTTAATTTTCCTTCATAGAGACTTCACGAAAGCAATACTAAACACACTAATTGAATATCGTTACTTAGTGTATGATAGAACGAATTATGAAAAGGTTAGTAGAGGGCTTATTTTTTCCCATTAGTTTACACATATTACTTCGTTTCGTCCCACATTCTCACATACTATTATTCTGCAATTTAGTTTTCCAAATGTGATAATTTAGACAAATCTGATGATGTTCGGAAGCACACACTCCATTATTCATAAACATTTTCAATGAAGTTAAACTAAATAAAAGGAAAACAATAATGTTGAGTTATTGAATGTGGTTTGTAGGATGCTCTAAATCTAAATTTTGTGTTAGATGGAATTCGTCAACTATGCATTTCTGCAATCTGCAGTCCGAGATATCACCACCGAATAATGTGAACTCTTACACTAAGTGAAAATCAACACGATGTGGAGCTTCTCAGACCAGTGACTACACTTTAGTATGTTGCTGAAAATTCTATCAGTAGTAAGAACCAGATAACAAGAATCTTATAACTATTCAACTCCTAATTAGTGGTAATTCTTCTATGTATATCGTAGATCGAGACTGATACATTTCGATTGTTCAGTACTCGTTTCTCGCTTCATTTCAATATTGAATCCTGATAGTCAATCATACGATTATCAAGTGAACGTTTCATAACCTAACTCAACAATTATACAATTTCTCATTTTTCATATACCCTGTATTTAAATAAACAGTCAGTCATGAAAAATGGCTGCAAATATTCTCCAGAAACACATAAGATGTTGTTTTTAATTATTTTTTTCATTTTATGGCGAAAATACCTTAAAGAATCCTTTCCATATTACAACTGTAATTTTAATCTGTAAACGTTCTTTAGTGATTCTAAAGTATGAAGGAATATGTAAAGAATCTAAATAAAATTTCCGAAGTGTCTGTGAAAATGTTTTGAAATAAACCAAATACTCAGTATTTTTCTATATAACCGATTAACTACAACCATTTTTCATCTCAAAATTAAACTGTACTGAAATGTACATAAAATGACCTTTTTTATCTTTACAGATACTTGTAACAGAAGATAGCGATCAAATAGACCCTGAACTTCAAAAGAAGATTGAAAAATTACTTCAGAAAACCAGAAAAAAAAAGAAATGGACTGAAGACTTTTCCGACGTCATTATTCAGTGGTTGTATGAAAATGTCCCAGTAGTTACCCATTTATTATAGATCAGTTCTGTTGATGAATATCAACCAATTATTCATTCATAAGCGATATGAGATAATTTTTTTCAACTTCCGTTACTGTTATCACTGATATTTTTTATTCTGCCAAGTTTTTGGACATTTATGTGTTATTCTACATTAATACTGGTACTTTGAATGTTTGCTTGTAGTGATTCGTAGTAACTTTTAATGTATATTCGTATTTATTGATATAACACTGATGTTATAATGTTTTTGTTGTGGGTCACAATTCAAAATGTTTATTATACTGAATGCTAAAATAAAGTACCTCGAGTACGAACAAAATGGTCTTTGTTATTCAACAAAATATGGTTAGGTAAATTAGGACAGATTAAATGGATAAATTGTTGATTAATAAAATCAAGAACATCAATAAGTTCGTAATAATTATAGTGAACTCGATTCAAAGACAAACGATTAACATCTAATAATATTCCAATAGTACTACGTAGCGAAATACTTTGATGAAAGGACTGTAGTTCAATGTTAGGCTGTGTAAAAAACCATTTGTTGAATTTCAAGCTAAGTAAATCGCTTCAAAAACAGGAACTCTTAACCCATTTAACATTTGAATTTAGTAACTAATTCCTAATTTCAAATCAAACTAACTTATCTAATAAAGATCCTAACACGTATTCATTTTATTTCAAATCTAATCAGTTTCATACCAAATTATTCCATTTTTTTCCAATATCCGTTTATCGGAGGCGGTGCAACAATAATCCATATATACATGGGCAATCATCAGTTGGCTGTACAAATGCGGGGGATCGATATTAAATTCGTAAAAGTAATCAAATGTTTCCCTATTACAAAATCCATATGTTTTCAAACATATGGTGAAAATCAGACTCCATTCGACAGATTAAACAGCTAAATTAACCAACCACAAGACTGACCACAAATATAATGGAATAAAAATAATCCAAATCTAATATCTATTATTCCTTAAAGTGAACAGAAGTAAATAGTTGGTATCCCCGAAGAATCCATCGAAAAGCTTTCCAGAAGCTAGAAAAAAGGATGAGGACATCTCAAACAATCTGTAAAGAATACGTAAACTCCTAGGAAATTGATGGGTTATGTCCTAAGCCCTTAATCGGTGAAAACTAACTTTTTAATTTAGCTTGTTTTCAGAAGTTTCCAAACTTCAGCGGTAGTGATAAGACTTATAAGTAAACCTATATTCTGGGACGGTGGAGAGGATCTTCAGCTCGGGTGGATGATGTTTTTAGAGATTCGCTATCTGACTGGGATGGTTTCATTATGAAGTTTTCATTTTTCTTCTGAACAAAATCATCAACACAATGAAAGCATTAAACGATCTATTCCTCATAAGTCAATACTTGATTTAGGCTAAAATCACAGCGATCATATTTTTATGGTTTATAATTATACCACTGAATAGAAAAATTAAGTAGACGTATTCTTGTAAGGAAAAATCACACTTAAAGGCTTATCCGTTCACCTAAGATAAAATTCTTGTTAGTCAAGTTCAGGGTTCTGTTTTGAATCTTGATGAGAAACAAAGGAACTTCTGTAAAAGATCGTAATCAAAAACGAATGAACGATCTAGGATCCTATTGCATTTAAAAAAACTTAATGGGCTTCTACGATACATAGCAAACAGTAAATTAACATGCATCTTAACTTTCATTGACTTCTCGTCCGTTAATTAGTCTTTAAAACTGTCATAAATAAATTACGATATGATCCCGTTTCTCAACCTAAGTGATATAAAATTCATACTAATGAGGTCAGTCTATGATGTGCATAAAACTTGATACTGAATGAAAACATTGTTTTATTTTTACCATTTGAAATGCTTATTAGTTTGAAAACGTTTTTAATACTGCACTGAGTAGTTTCTGTATGAAGGGATTCCAGAAACAGCACTAATGTAATAAAAGAAAAGAAATCATAGGTAGAACAGATCACTTATCCAAGTAATGTTGCCTCCTTAAACAGATAATGCTTATTTGTTGATAATCCAGAAAGTTTTTACCATTTGAGTAGTTTTTTAAAAGTGAACATGGACCACAAATACCTTTTTTTAAATCTGAAAAATCTCCTCATTAAACGTCATAGTGGTATGGCGAACGGCCCCTGAAATTTACTTTCGTCATCTTATTTACATAATCCTATGAATTCCTAATACTGGATGTTCATGTGACTTAGTTATTCAAAAATCACCATTTCGTTGAGGTATCTCAATGATAAACCGCTACTCAACTTATGTTTATAGTTCAGGTGAAATGTAAATAATTTGAATACGAAACACTAACCGTTTAGCTCATTTAGAAATTTCTTCAGTTTATAACCTAACGGAGTTACTAGTTACACTGTATGCAAATTCATATCTAAATAATCAGATGTCAATATTCAATTAATGTTCAGCTATATCTTATTTTTAAAAAATGTATGATCGCGGTTTGAAATTACTGACCTACACTCTTTTGCTTTCCTCTATTGACAATTTGTTTCACGTATTTCATAAATCATATACTTGTGGACATTTTGAGATGATTCAGTGACATTTTTTGGTTCGGAATAAAATAGAAATCAATGGGACATAACACTTGGTTGTCTTTTCTAAAGGTCAGACGTTAGAAAAAAGTGAAGGTTTCGAAAGGTCATTTTGTTTATTTATTATTTGAACACGTAATCATTGGTAAAACGTTACACCAACTACATATGCACCATACAATAAGAATAAAGTTTTGAAGGAACAGAAATTGTTGTATGAAAGTAAAATAATATTAATAATAATAATGGAAGAAGCAGAAAAAATTACAACTGGAAAGATTGCTTTCATTTAAGAAAGTCACGTTCGCTTTTATGAAAAGAGTGAAAGTTGCATCCGCCAGATCACGTTATTGTGTTGCACCATCTCTAGGTCCTTAACCAGGGAGTCGTGAAGGACCAACAGAAGTCTGTCCTGTACAACTTTCTTTCATACCACGACACCATGTCATACACTACCACCGTTTCTCCTCGTCCAACTTGTCCCAGAGTCGGCAAATAATTCATGACGTTGGACGAAATGCATAAGGCATGTCCAATCAACCGAAGTCGATGTTTCAATATAGTGACGCCAATTGGATTATCGTCTCTGCACCCGGACACACGATGCCGAACTCCAGCATTACTAATATGGTGTTGCCATTGTATTTCAGCAATCCTTCGGAGACAACGATGATCAAACACATAAAGTCATCTAACAACCTCATCTCGGAGAGGCCAGGTTTCACAAGCATAAAGCAAAACTGCTCTCACCGACGAGTTGTAGATCCGACCTTTTACAACCGGACTAACATCACGAAGACGCCAAAGATAACCCAGATTGCTCTGACTTTCACTATACATGAATTGATCTCACCACCCATGCCACCACCAACACTTATGCAGCTACATAGATACACGAATTTCTCAACTACTACTTGCTCACCACCTAGTGTGAGTGTAGGATCAGTGTCCTGCTAGTCTTGTAAAAATACTTTGCACTTTGGCATATTCGCGCAACAAGGCAATATCATCTGCATACTCAAGGTCGGACAGTCTTTCTTCAGGCAGGTCATCCACACCTACATCCACCAGAGCTGTTTACTGAAAGTCAACGATAGCAAAGATGAAGAGGAATGATTAGATCGGACAACCCTATCTAACCCAACAACTTTGATTGAACAGTGGAGAAAGGTGATTGTATGTCCTCACTATGCCTGAGGTGTTTGTATGTAGAGTCTTAAAGATGTTAATAAACTTCTCAGGCACACCCTTCTTCAATTAACCATCTCAGAGGACAGTACTATTTAATGAAACGAAGGCGGACCTGATGTCAAGAAACATTATGATTGTTTGCCCATGGTAAGTATGATAGTGTTCTGACATTTGACAGAGGGTGAAGACATGATCAATAGATCCTAGACCAGAATGAAAACCAGCCTGCTGCTCATGAGTCAATCTTTCTTGGGTTTCGAAAAACCTACGAAACATGACGGAAGCCAATAGTCTGAACGCAGTTGGAAGAAGACTTATCCTCAGATAGCTGTTGCATAAATGATGTGAACATTTTTTAAAGATAGGGACAACCATCGACTTATTACACGGTGTTGGGATAGTCTTTGATTTTCAGACCTTCGTAAACAACTCAGCCACTTTCCTAACAAGAAAGAAGTCACAATCTTTAAAAAAAAGACCGGAAGTAAATCATCTGCAAGTAATGATTTGCAGAGCTTTGATAGTTGGAATTCTCTGCAGACTTCCGTTTGGTTCGGTGGCTTAGTCGCCACTGGCCATGGAGGGTAGTACAATCTGATCAATGTCACTGGAGCAGTAGACCAGTTGAAATGCCCCTCAAAAAACCCTAACCATCATCTACGATGTGGGCAGATGTCATTAGTTGACAACCTGTCAGCTTGACTGGTTGTTTCACTCACACCAGACATGTTATCAGTGATGCGGATGAATTGAGGGAGTCAGATAATCTCTCCACATCGTTTCACATTTTGATCATCAAACAGATATCTCCAAGGTTTCTGTTTTGATATTTTGTGGATTCCAGTGTTTCTGACAGAGCTTAAAAATATGACTTAGAAAAAAAAACATATATATATATACGCTCGTTCTCAGACTGTAGGTTTTAGAACCTAAAAGGTGGAAATTTCAGCGGCTATGAAATGTTCAAGAAAAACACCGTCCTTTGATATATCCACTTTAACATAGAGTTCCTCTTTTTACATTCAATTAAAAGACGCGTTAAGACCATAACAACGTTTAATGGGAGGCTTCCTGTAAACAGGTTTGGAATGAAATTTATTTGTGTAGGTACTGTAATAAATCTCAGAACTTAGAACATTTTCGGCACAGTGTTTAAATTGGACTTTTCCCAGAATTCACAACAAAACCACATATCATGTGTTAAACTCTCCCAGTGCTTGAGCGAAACATTAGAAGTTTTGCGGAAATATATATAATAGTTTTCGAAAAACATCTCATGCAAGTGGTCACTAATAATCATCTACTAAGATTACAAGTAACAAGAAACATGAAATTTTTACTTACATTGGTAACCGTCAGCAGCTGATTTTGCATTTATTTCACTAAAATAGCTCCCGAATAATCATTTAGAATCTTTTGTTAGGTATCGTGAAGTTCACAGAATGTAAACTGCATCATCTAACTTTATTCTCGACTTCAATAGAACTTTAGGTTTGCTTAAATTCTCAAGCGATTAATTACGTTTAAGAAGAGTTGATTTATTTATTAAACTTTATATTAACCGGCCATTTGATAATCGACAGGTTTAACATGAAAGTAAGGATAAATTGTGATATCAGGTCAATTTATTCAAACAAAACTAACATCTTCAGACTAATTTCTGAGGTATAAAGACAGAATTTATTGTGCAGTTTGATAGAACAACGTACATTCTGCTGCTGGAAAACGTGTCTTTTTCTACAAAAGACTACATTCATTAAATTGATCAGAATACTTATGTAACAAACAAGTAATAGAGTTTACTAAACTAACCTACGAATTGCCTGCTTTGCAACTCCTATGGCCTTCAATGAATACATTCTTCTTTTTTGACATACGTTTGATAACTTATAGATAAAAACTCCAGTTAACATTATTTTCATCTAGATATTTCTGTATACACTTGATTCCCTTGATATTAGAAACTTATTTCAAATACTTTTTCAAAAGAATATCTATTTCATTTAAAAAAGGAATTGAATTCAGCAGGAACACAGATTAGAAAACATCGAATAGCTTCTCAAATGGATACTTATTGGTCAATTACATGTTGTTCGAATCAACATTAAAGTCTTTTCATTGTAAAACAACAAGCACTAAATTGCTATAGGATAATCTAACACAAACCTTTCTGTTTATTCCTTAAAAGTAAGCTATCGAATACTATGGACATTCTCAATCACTTGGAATCATAACAAAACGCTGTAACAAAACACTTAGAAATCTGTTCTCAAATGAAACATTTAAAATTCTCTATATCCAGATTATTTCCGAATACGTGTCGAAACAATTATCTAATTTTAGCCATCTATAAATTAAAGATGTTCTTTCTTTCTCTCAAAAAAGTGTATGAATTTTCACCATGATTGTTACTTTCTCAATGATTTTAGTGATAAATTAAATTTCACTTGTTTACAGACTGGTTTTTGATGTTTTGAAAGTAAAAAAATATATTGTAAACAACATTCACAAGTACATAGACATACATTTCTAGTGGTTGTACGTTTAACCTTGTAATAAATGTGGTTAATTACATAAAGGAATTGGTTACCACTTACTATTTTTTTGGGGGGGGGTTCTTGAGAATTGTTTATTTGTTTATGTTTAGTTTAGAAATCCAAAAAAACCCTCGTTTTTCGAAACATACATGATAAATTTACCTTAAACCACATTGTTCGTTAACACCATCCATTCTAGTCTTGTTCTAACTTTCATTTCATAGAATCGAAAAAAGAATATTTAATGGTGTATGTCCTGTTGCACAGAATATGATTTACACTAAATTGACTTTAATTTTTTTTCATTACTTATCTTTATTTAATTCAGTTGATGTAGAATTATTTCATTTTTATTACGTTGACCAACAATAATCATTAATGATGAAAATGAGGATTTTTCTTATTTATATTATATTTACATGTGAATTAATTTTAGGTAAGTTATCAGTAATATATTACTATTCTTTATGAAAAATATTGAAAATTTCTAGCATAAATCGTTTCAAATTCTATTGTTTTATATAACATCAGTGAGAGACACTTAAAGACTTGTGATGGCGTGGATTGAGATGTTATTTTAATAAGGTTTTAAGAGATGTTTTCTGGAGTTCTAGTGGGAAGCGGTGACCAGTGTAGTTCAACCACGTCTGTTGTGAGGTATCAACTCACTGAAGACAATTGGTGAATGGTTGCTCAACTTCGTGGATCAGTTGAAGTTAGACATGAACACCGTTGGATGCCAGCTCAGTGGTCTATCGGTTAAGGGCTTCGGCTCGAAAGTGGTAGGTCCTGGGTTCGAATCTCGCTCGCGAGAGCGGGTTCGTGGATGCACACTGCTGAGGAGTCCCATAATAGGACGAAACGGTCGTCCAGTGCTTCCAGGTTTTCGATGGTGGTCTAGCTTCATCTGACTCATGATTTCATCCCTGAAAATTTCTTGGGTGCTCTAAACTTTATGAATATTGATAATGTTATAAGAAATGAAGACAATCAGAGCTATTAGATGCATTTACACAATACATTTTAAACTATTCATTTATACACATACGTGTTAAGAGCATTTATATAGGAAAAATCAAAGGTGAACTAAGTAGATGAAATGCAAGAGAAAACAAAGATCATGAAGTTTCTATATCGAAGTTTGACTTGATAATTACAAATATATTGAGCATTGTTTGGACTGTTAATTGTATAATAATAAGATATTTGTGATATCTCAATGAATAGGAACTTGAATTTATGACATTTTATAAATTCATGTAAGCCATTTATTCAAGGCAGATAATTAAGTAGTCAAATTGAAATAAGACAAGTGTAAACAGGATTATAGAAAAGGAAATAATATCCAAAACAACGTGAAACTCAAAATTGTGGGTAATAAAACTACATTACTTATGTAGTATTGGGGTGAGAAAAAACAGTTTTTGAATATTTAACAGTAGTCTCAATTTTCAAATGAAAAAGGCTTCAATAAACCTCAGCATACGACCTAGACAACTTATGCACAAAACCATAAAGGCTAAGTTTAATTCAATTTTATAACCTGTTTCAATTATGTGTTTAGTAATACAAAGAGATTGATGTTTATTATCTGCTTTTGTTGAGTATTAATTTTATTTGTTTCTGTAGTCACTTTGATACATGTACATGGCTATATATGAATAAACTGATAAAAGCAGAGTAAGACCTAAGCTAAGGGGATTATATTTACAGTAATCTAATCAAAGAAATCAACAAGTCTTATGATGGTTGTTATATCTGTGGCCGAGTGGATTATTAGTTGATGGGTGAAGTTGATGAGACTGTCAATTAGAGAGCAGCGAATTATCGACTGGAGCAGTGACTCGAACCCCGAACGAGCAGACTAGAGTGCTAACCGATCCTGCGATCTGCCTAACCCAGCCAGTTGAGTCCAGAACACAAATAACAGCCTCAGCAATATGAATCATTATTTACAAACATACTGGGTTTTTATACAAACCAAAGTAATCGATAAACTGATTATAACTCAAGAATCGTGTGATCATAAATCAAAGATCAAAATAAAGCTCATGATAAGAGAAAACGAATATGAATAATTTAGTTACGTAACAACTGTACAATAAGAAATAGGCATAATACATTGGTCGATAAATAATCCTTAGAGTTACCATTCGTAATTCACCAGGGGATATAACAATGGTGTAGTGAACAAGACCACAGGTGGTGACAATCGAATATATTTCAGTACAACATTACAGAATATCACATTAACATATGAGAACCATATAGTAAACAGTTAATTTGCAAAATAACAATCAATTGTCTGAATTTGACTGTTTCTTCAGCAAGTATCCGTCCATAGTCTCCGATTATAATTGTTTATGCGTTTTCGTACCGATTGCATGCCTTCCCCGATCTCTCATCATCGATCTTCTACTGAAATACATGCCCGACCGTCACCGTGGATATCAGTAACCCACACCACAATGGGATATGCTCTAACGTAATAATCTAAGGAGGGTGAGATGACATTTAGCTTGAAAATGACATAAAAACTGGAAGGAACACTACACAAGATTAGCTAGGCATATATATATATATATATACCCATTATAAATGTATATTAACGTATAAGTCTAGTTCAGTTAATAAACTAATGAATGTAAAAAGAATTTCATACATTTGTTATGGAATCTGAACCTAAGTGGAACAAAGAGAACTCGTAAGTTAGCTAATCATTAACAATTCCAAATCTTTTTAAATCCAGACCTTGATTACTTTAGGGAATATTTGATGAAATAGGTGGTTAGGACGAGATAGGTATACATGATGTTATATGTGATAATCACATTTTTTAATAGAAATTACTAAATATTCCAGTGAATACTTTAAATTCTATATATTGAAATTTTAGTTCAAAATCTATTTAGTCCATTACAAGTACAAAAACGTGTAATTAATGGTCAAAAAGCAGAAAAATTAGAGTATCCATGGGCTGTATCTATAAAAGGCACAAATCCTGTATACAAACAAGTCACATATTGTGGATCAACATTTATACGAGATCGTTGGTTACTTACTGCTGCTCATTGTTTTTGGGCTGGATCATGGAGAAAATCTCAGTAATCATAAGTTTGAAAACAATTTTATGATAAAGTATTTTATTCGAATTGTATACTTTTATGTAACGAATAGAGAAGGCCTTCACTCTAGGAGTAATCCAGTATGTCTGATTTCAACAAGTTTCATTTCTATAAAAATCCAAATGACATATGAAAAGAAAAGGGAAAGGCTATTGTAGATTTCGAACATTTCATTAGTTACATTAATGTAGATTGTGGGAAAAATATGATAATATATTTGAAGCACTTTTTCGAAATTAGAGATAACTTAAAACGATTAAAACAACCCATTGTATCATTGAATTAAATAAAGAGAATTGAACAAAGAAATTTTTTCTTTGCAATGAAATCACTACCTTAAGCTGTACATATACGTTTGTAGTTGTATGTATGTCTATAGAAAGATGGAAAATGTTGCATTACAAAGTGATTCGCGACTATGAATATCAATGGCTTAAAGAAGAATAAGAAGATAAAAGTAATTTAAGGGTCAGAATTATGAAAGATATTTGTCCTCTTGTTTGATATGGAGAAAAACGAAAAACATAAAGGTCATAATAATAACTGAACAACAAATATGGAAAAAAATTATTAAAGGATAATGATAACTGATTACGGTTTAAAATCACAAAACAATAATTTCGACAAAAAACATAATGCAGAAGGGAATGAGGTCCAAGAAAAGATGAAAGGTTGGACGTATCGTTTTCACATGCAGAGTTGCAAGCGCCTCAGTAGTGCATGAGTTTTTAATTTGGCTTCCTTTGTTTGTGTACATTATTTTGGAGGAAGACTCCTTTGGAGTGAAGTGTCCAGAGTTGATTAGGTGCTTCTGTACTGAAATGGTGACTGTTTTGCGTTCTCTTTTTGAAAGTCACGCCTGTTAATGTTCTGAGATGAGTTTGGAAAATGACCCATTTCTGAGGCTAATGTAACCTACCCTACAGGAGTAACTAAATTTATGGATGCAAATCGACATGAGAATACGAATGTTTAACTTAAGAAAATGATTTCGTAGAAATAAAAATTTTCTTCCCTGAATTCACTTCACTTTTATTTATTAATTAAAGACATTTTTGATTAATCTGGTTAACAGAAAATTTGTCGATACGATAATCATATCAAACAATTCGTACAAACATCTAGTGTTGAATGAATGTTAACGGACAAGAATAATGGTAACACCTTATCCACGAGGGCTAAAGGGCCGAAGATTAATTGTCAGTTGCGTAGGTAGAGACACTAATGGGAATTATCCGACTACAATGTGACAGATGTCCACTTGACCTTCGCATTCAAAGGTTTCCTAGTATTGTAAAGTGTGCTTAAATCAGAGCTACACAAACCTTAATATATTAAATTGTTATTTAGATTTAGAAATTCTATCTAGACATTTAAAATCAGGTAAGATTGATAGCTTGAATTTATCCACTTCAACTGAATCTCACTATATACATTTTAGCCTTTTGGATCCCAACAACTGGCATGTTCAAGCTGGAAGTAACGTGATTGAAGTAAGTTACTTTTATTGATATCCATTATCATCAGATTCGGGCAATCAATGGTAATTAAATACTCAAGTTTATGATGTCATTAGTTTATTTATTAGACGGATATTTGGAGTGTAAAAGGAATTTAGTTCATTTGAACACTCGGTTGACTTTTTTCCAATTGAAGATATGTTTAAAATGCAAAATTCATAGTTCGATTTGATGCTAATCTGTCTGAAAATGAGGTCGTTACCCTTCGGCATACGTTACGCAAAATGAGATTCTTAAATTATAAGTTATGAATCTAAAGCCTACCAAAGTAATAAATTTTTTTGACGTAGAAACACAGGCTATTTGGCTCCTCACATTATGTTCACAAAGAGAACTTGTGGTTCACTTGCCACTGACATGATGGTCAATTAACTGCTTCAATTACCCCACTTGGTTTTCTCGGTTTGGTTTACTTGACCTCATTTTTAAAAATCTTGATAGCACTTTCTTTGTTGCCTTTGGTTCATTCACCATTTCAAATTTATGGTTATAATAACTAATCTTATTATTTTAAGATTATTAGGCTAAATGTTTAACACCTTATCAATTCAGACATCCAACTACGTACGGTTTCTCATGCCCTCCAAAATTATTATTGCCGTTAGTAGTGTTATTATCATAAATGTTATTATTGCTTCACTGTTGCATTTCTTTGACAATTTAATATCAATCGCATAATTTTGTTAACCACAATCATAATAACTTATACATGATTCTCACATCCCTTTACTTCTTGGTTTCTGATGTGCGGACGAGAACGATAATGATTGGTTGTCTGCTTAGTCAGGCATGTAGATAGTCTGACAGGTGTCAGATGAGTTATATATTCCCTTATCCTCATTATTTATTATTATTGATTGATTGTTCATTGTTGTCGGGTTGTGTCGGGTTTCGGTGTGGAAATATATTTAAGTTTTAGTCAGGTTAATCACCTGTTCTTGATCTGAGTTGTGTTAAAGACCTGTAGAGTAGACACTAGGAGAGAATCTAGTGTAGATATTCGTCTAAGGTAAATTAACGTCCCATTCGTGTAAACAAAAAAACGGAACCGTTATAATAGTTCCTCTCTGATTTAATCCTTTATCGTATATATTGAATTGAAATAAAAAAAATAGATGACAGTTCTTTAATAATTGTTTCTTTTCATGAATGAACTAAGCAATCGTTTACTTGTTACACATAATTAAGCAACAGATAAGATATATAAATGGAGTAGCTAAGGTAAGAACCAAATAATATAAGCATCATTTATTTTTTAATTGAAGATGTGTAGTGATCTGATATGATTACCGGTTATAATGAATTCACAATCTTCAAAACCGCTTTATAGCTAATCAACTTTCTTTGAGGTGTGCTTACAATCATTTCTAGTCTATTTTAAAAAGTTATACAATTTTATGGTGTTTTCCATTTGTTAGAAATTTTTCTGACGATTCCCTTGCAAAGAAATCTCACAAAAATGGCGTTCACAAGCTAATCTTGAGGTGTCAATAGGATAGTTTGCTTTTTCTATATACATTCAGATTCATTTGACCACGAAAGTTAGGTACCATGGTATACCTCATTTACTGTTTCCATGATATTTATTTGAAACTATTCCGAAATTACGTAATTAAAATTTATTTAATTTTGTACAGATCAGAATAGCTTTCGTGGAAAACTGAGATTCTAATAATAAATTTGTCATAGGAGTAAAAATAGGTTCAAGAGAGTCAAAGATAAAATCTGTGAACCATCTGAAATTTTTATACGTTAACTTATATAGATTTAAAGAATATAATTGAATAATATAACTTATTCTATTTATAGTTAGGTGAAGAACATGGATATAGAGGACATGTATTAAAACCAGGTACAAACGGACGTCAAACTGTTGTAGCTACTTTAATCAAAAGGCTGATTGATATTTTCTCCAGGTTAGTTAAATTTATCATTTTAAAAAAAATGACCTACTGAAATGACGTTATTGCATGCCTATTGAATTTTATTATAAACTGTAGTGTTTAAAATACAGTGTATATATACATATCTAGAAGTGTAGTGAGAGATTTGAAGTACTTGTAAAGTTGGTTTGCATGTTTTATTTACGTTATTATTTCAAACAGTTATCCTTGTTTCTAGAATAATGCAAATATGTATACTAATTTCTTCGATCCTTTTCTGTTTTTGATGAGCGGTAAGGGAGGATTGACTATTACAAATTATTCATTGTAATTGTAAATTCATTTCAAAGCTGAACTTAATTAACGTCTAAGTAAGGAGCAATATTCTAATATATTTTTATGCTTTTGGTGTTTAAACCGTTTGTCATCTTCAGTAGTATTATATCGTATCTAACCAATTACTTGCCTATAGTTAGATGTATGATAAGCTTCTGTGTATCTTAAATTGATTTAATAATTATTCAATTCCCAATATGAAGAACTCTGTGTCACATATTTTCATTAGCAAAGGATTTGAAATTTTCCTCATCAGGGAATAATTTGTGTTTACAAAATTCTCACTATACAACGGATTTTCCTCAATTTCTGCAGTTATGCTGTGATGAATGAGAACAAAGTGGGAACAATTAAATGTATTTGAATATAGAATAACAGAACATCTTAGGAAAATCTGAAAATCATACAGTAAATAAATCGTTTACAAAATGTTAATCGACTATCTCACACTTCATTTTTCTTTCGTTTAAACACCAATCATTCTCTGATCTCGTTCTCTTGTCTTCGATCTTCTTTACCATCTGCCTCCAGGTATTTCACTTTCGACTGATGATACATACTACTTATATTCGTCAACATCAGTAGCACACGCCACAGTAAATCCAAACTAACAATTCCGAAAAAACAGTGAGGTCAAAAGTAAATTGCATCGTTTTAAATTAGAGCCATAAAATTAAGGACGACTAGTAAAATAAAATAAAAATTTTATTGATAAAATGACTAATATACGGTGATATCTCCTATTAGCTGAAATAAAACTGTAGGATTAAAAATCAGATTAAATATAGATAAAATAGGGAGAGAAATAATATGGTAATTACAAATCAGATCAAAAGTTTGGTAGAAGAGATAGTTATGTACGAAATGAAAAAAAACATTTGTTCTTTGTCTATGAAATCGTTTTTTCAACTTTATTCAATTTTATATTCTTGGTAAAATATAGAATTCCCAATACAAAGTATTTCGGATCCCCAAGTGATTTCAAAATTTGAAAAATTCCCATATTGTGATTTAGAACAACATATATAAGCGAACAATATTGTTTTCCATTAGATCCTCATCAGGCTTTACTCTAATATACAGTAATATTTATATGCATATACGAAATTATTAAACCAATCAAGGCAGTTTATGAGTCAATGATAACAGTGGAATAGATTACATAATCAAAATTAATAATAAGTGAAAGTACAAATTGATAGTGTAATGACAGGTGTACTAGTTGTGATAAGAATAATAAAAGGCTTGAATCAATGTTACATAATAGGGAAATAGGTCAATGATTAGAAAAAATATAGACACTGAAATAACATTCATAGAAATTATAAGATTACGTAATAAGAAGTGTTCAGATAATTGGAAGCGAAAATTAGAAAAATTATAAGTAAATAATTGATAGGGGGGTGAAGAAAAAATAAACTAAGAAAGTGTATGGAAAATAAAATTATTTATTAAGGCCAAGGGAGAGATAAGGGTGTTACAAATTTCTTATGAACACAAAGACTTGGGTTGTCGGATCGAATTCCTATAGCTTCTGCTATGTGTAGGAGACGAGATCGAACCCCATAAGGAAAAATAGTAGGAATACGATAAATAACTTTAAAAGACTGGTTTCTGTCAACTTCATGACCGCTATCAATCAAGTGTGAAAGAATCGAGCTCCGTATCGACTTGACCATACCTTTTCCTAACCACGAAGGGAGGTGTTCACTAACTCTTTGGTTCAATTGTCTGGTAGTGCGCCCAATATAGCTTTCTCCACAGGAGCAGCTGAATTTATAGATACACATAGAAGTAGCATAACCAGGCAACTTATCCTTTAGTTGGGGAATCACCATAGATCGTGTCGAGTAAGAAAGAAAGAGATCGGCAGCATTAAACGTTCTCTTAACTGCTTTAGTCAGTCTATCCCGTAGTACATCATCAGCTAAATCGCTTCTATAAATTCAGCTGCTCCTGTGGAGAAAGCTATATTGGGCGCACTACCAGACAATTGAACCAAAGAGTTAGTGAACACCTCCCTTCGTGGTTAGGAAAAGGTATGGTCAAGTCGATACGGAGCTCGATTCTTTCACACTTGATTGATAGCGGTCATGAAGTTGACAGAAACCAGTCTTTTAAAGTTATTTATCGTATTCCTACTATTTTTCCTTATGGGGTTCGATCTCATCTACTACACATAGCAGGAGCTATAGGAATTCGATCCAACAACCCAAGTCTTTGTGTTCATAAGAAATTTGTAACACCCTTATCTCTCTCTTGGCCTTAATAAATAATTTTATTTTCCATACACTTTCTTAGTTTATTTTTTCTTCACCCCCCTATCAATTATTTACTTATAATTTTTCTAATTTTCGCTTCCAATTATCTGAACACTTCTTATTACGTAATCTTATAATTTCTATGAATGTTATTTCAGTGTCTATATTTTTTCTAATCATTGACCTATTTCCCTATTATGTAACATTGATTCAAGCCTTTTATTATTCTTATCACAACTAGTACACCTGTCATTACACTATCAATTTGTACTTTCACTTATTATTAATTTTGATTATGTAATCTATTCCACTGTTATCATTGACTCATAAACTGCCTTGATTGGTTTAATAATTTCGTATATGCATATAAATATTACTGTATATTAGAGTAAAGCCTGATGAGGATCTAATCGAAAACAAAGTATTTCAACAAGTTTCCATTTCTTACTTCTCAGACGATCCTCACGATAAATGCTGAGTGATCATCAGTTAGAAGTTAACAGTCCAGTCAATTGACAACTAATTAATGTACATCATTTTAGCTGCATATTGCCAGCAACCACGATATCTTTTATTGAGCCTATTTGTAACTTGTACAAAGAAAGATTGTACACCTTTCAGAAACACGGCTGAATAATTTATGCGATTAATCGACATAATGATGTATTAAGACATACAAAAACTGATAATTTGTTGAAATATCTAGATGATAGGAACACAGCCCAGATGTTCAAGCACAGATATGTTCACAAATATAGTAAGAAATCATGAAATTAGGTGAATGTTTATGTATTCATGTCATGTCAGTAGTAATAGTAATAATGAAAAAAGGTTACGTAAAGATCCAGAGGTCAGAGTAGAATATTATTTGGTTTTTTCAACGAAATCACTCGAGTTATAGAATCGTCTGGTTCGATAAGTATATGAATCTAAAGAGGAATAGAAAGTGAACAATTATCTCTCTCATATATCTAACCAACTTTGTTAATTAATGGTTGAATCCCTGAGTCGATTTAGACTAGGCCACTGTGGACAACCAGTGGAGTCAAACCGCATCTGTTGTGAAGCAGTTACTCATTGAAGACAATGGTGGACAGTCGCGAATTATCATGAATTGGTTGAAGTCAAACATTTCCACGTTTGGATGCCGGCTCAGGAGTCTAGATGTTAAGCGTTCGCGTGCGAGACCGAATGTCCTGGATTCGAATCCAGCGTGTGAGATCGTGAATGCCCACTATTGAGGAGTCCAATACTAAGATGAAACAGCCATCCAGTGCTTTCAGTTTTTTCAATAGTGGTCTAACTTAAATCGACTAATGAATTCAATCATTAAATTACTGCAATTTCTACAAACCCTCATTCTCACAGTAACTATTCTATAACTACATAACTGAATTCATATTATTCTGCTACGATCATGTATTCTTAAGTTATTTAAGCTTATGAACGGTGAAAATTGAATGAAATTCCATGAATGAATTAATATTATGTATTCAATTTAATTCAATTTGTCTTTTTTTCTTACATATAGACTGAATCTTTTTTTCCGCATAATTCATTCACTTTTTTCTGACTATATGACAAACATGGAGTTTATTTGCTTGATAGAAGTTTACCCATGTGTATATTTATATTTAAAAAGAAAATGTTAGTTTTTTTTTCAGAAGTCAATGTATATTTGTTAAAGAAATCAGTAGTAAAAATAAATCAGTTAAATTATTATAACGACGTTGGTTTTTATAGTTAGTGTATAGCTCTATCTTGGTCAAATTGTGGTGTGGTATATGGTGATGGTCGGATATTGAATGTATTTCAATAGAAGATCGATAAGAAGAGAACGGGAACGACACGCAATTAATATGAAAATACATGAACAATTATAATCGGAGACTATGGATGGATATTTGCAGATGGAACAGTCAAATTGAGATGATTGATTGTTGTTTTGCAAATTTTTATGGTTCTCATATTTTAATGAGATATTCTGTAATATTGTGCAACAATACATTCGACTGTCTCCTCCGGTGTTCTCACTCACTACAAAATGGTCAAGAAAATAAACACACAAATAAAACTTGAGTATCCCATTGAATAAAACTTTATTTGATAATTAATGCGGTGACTTTCATGTATCTAAATAATTTGCATCTAGATTTAACTACACTTTAGTCAGTTATATCACTTAAAATATTTTAATGAATAAATGCTTTGTTGTTATACCAGCAAACATTTTATGGATTTATATAGATCAATAAATATGCGAATATGGTAAATTCTGAAACAAACTTTTACATTCTATAAGTGAATAGTTTACAATATTCGGAATTATTCTTTTGGAAATTTCACGCTTTTTTCCTCTTAATTTAGTGGTAACTCAAAAGAAAATCAAGGAGCCGTCTGGCATACACATGTTAAAAAAATTATACTTCATCCAAATTATAGACCAGGTAAGTATTGTAAAAAATGATGAACAGTAAACAAAATGTTCCCTTTTCTAAAATCATTAAAAATTATTTATTATTTCGTATGGTGTTATTAAAACATTTCAAATCGCATTTTAATCTCAACATCAGTTAATTGCTTATTTAAGCCAGTTATCATTTGTGTAGTATAGATTGCCGACCAACGATAGCCAACCTACTGTCTTGTGCTCTTCCCTTTGATTTTTGCCAAATGTTCTTCATTTCTTTGATATTTGTATCCGATTGTCAGTGGGGGGTGTTCTTTTGAATCGCAACTACAGTTATCTTAGCATTATCTTAACAATCTAAAATTATGTATCAACATTCTAAAAAGTAATTGGTGAAAAAAACCTTGATGATCATTGCGCCTTAGTAAAAATATGAAGGATGAAACCTGTTACAAATGAACTGTTACAAATAAAGTTATGCTAAAAAAAAACAAATCGCAACCGCATACATATCTATAGGTGGGAATATGTTTAATCATATCATTTAACATAGGCCTTATTAATTAGTTTCCTAAATATATGTAAGTTGGAATTAGATTGTCATGGGGAAAAGAGGTTGTTTACACATAAATAATCTGAAACGTATTCTGCAAGGTGTTATTCTTGATTGATTTCTTTATTGTTTATCATTTATTCCAGTTTAAATGACAAACGGATTTATTGTGAACATTTTGCAAAGAATTAATTTTTTAAGCGACAAGTAATATATGGGCTTAATGAAAAAATCAAGTTAGGCTATTTGAGAAGGTTGATGGAGTCTAAGTATGGGAAAATTACCAGTCGTAATTAGTTAAGGGCATCGAATGAAATTATTATTTTAAATCTGATTTCCGTTAATCTCCAAAATCTCTGTATTCATGTATTCTGCCAGACTTCAAATCTAATCTGTTTGTTATTTTCCTGTACCATTTAATCACCTATAATATATTCTGCAACTAAATAAAAAACTTACTCTCTCATAATTTTAAAACTCTGCTTTTAGATCAAAAAGTCAATTCATGAAATCTGTCGGTAGAGATATACCCACAATATGTTTCTACCAGGATTAGTAATACCCTTATAATCGTTATTTTTTCTGTTATTCTTTATTGACCTGAATTTGGTGTTTAAGTAATTATGTTTTTATATGACTAAAGCTAAGGTAAGATGTTCTCTATGGAGTAAAAGTTTGCAGATGATCATTATTGAGAAAGTAAGCTTATATTGAATAGTTGATGGTGAAAGGTGAATTTTGCTAACTTAGGTAAAGTATATATATTTGGATGAAATACTAAAGATTTTATGCATTATCATTAACTCATTCATTTTATATAAAGTTTATCACTACATGGAGTATGTTCCTTCATGAGCCTAGTTATTTTCGTTTGACGAACTATCCCTAGGTAACAGTATGAAATTCCAAAAATTTTGCATCTTTATGGCTTCGCCTTTATCACTTGAACCAGGCCATAGATTTACTGACGACAATAATCATAAATATTGACAGTAATGTTAAATTTATACTCTATAATTTATCTTTTCAGACGATCTAGAATATGATCTGGCCTTGATAGAATTAGAAAACCCCTTGCCATCGGAAGATCCAGGGGTTCAACCAGCTGAATTACCACCTAGTGAAAACTACCTTGCTTGGCCAGCTGATCATGCTGATTGCATATTTGTCGGATGGGGTTGTCGTGTCAAAAATGGTCGACCATCAGCACAAGCTCAAGCTGTTCATTTGTTAACATTAAAAAATCAGGACTGTTCGTTAATGTATGGCAATGCAGCAGGGTTGAACGACCATCATGAGTTTTGTGCTGGTTATTACCAAGGACGAGTAGGAATATGCTCAGTAAGCCTTATTAATATTATTTATTCATCGACTTCAAGTACAAAATAAATTCTATAATTATCAAAGTGTAGTTTCAGTCGGTATGTTTAGGAATTCGTATAAATCTAATCAACACTGTCTTTATGAGGATAACAGATTCAGAAGTTTCCTATTTGATAAAAATGTATTTTGTAAGGTTGTGTTATCCTGGTATTACAACAACAATCGTTAGACGGATTTTATAATATAACTTTAAAAATGCGATGAAGATTGGTATTATGTCCCTAAGCAAATTCAAGATCAGGTTAATCACCAAAACTAACAAATCCATCATGTTGATGTACCACTTTTTGTACATCATCATCCAATAGTATCATTGACCAGATCACGATTAACAAAATTTGAAGAATATAAAGAAACTGTTTCATTTCGATGTTTTTCGCTAGCTGCGAATAGCTTACATTTAAAACATCTGATATTGACAAAACTAGACTTCTGGTAAACTTGGATCTTAGAAAATCTTTTGAGAAATGAGAAAAGAATTAACTAAAATCAAAATGTCCAACTCTCGGTAAAAACATGCTTTTATCTTTTCTACGTTCAATTGGAATATCAATTCAAGACATTACTAAAAGTGGCTTTACTTGCAACACCAAAGAATTATTTCCTCAACCAAAAGTGTATCAACACTTTGGAGTTCACCTATATCAATATTTACAAACATGCACGTCTTTATGGGAACATGTATATAACAATCACTGAGAAAAGTTTTACAATTTAGAAAAGGAAGGAATATCTGCGCATGTATTTTACAGTTATATTTACTGATGAAATAAAGTGGGACCACTAAAGCATATGATTAGCAAGCATTCGTTTAGTTCTTATTGTGAAAATGTTAGTTAAGCTTCTAAATAACATGGAGCGTTATGTGTTAAATGTAAATATTTTTTCTGCAACTTTTTAAACATAAAATAAACCCAGATGAAATTAGCAACAGAAAAATCAATTCTTCCTAATTTTCCTTGCTCAACAATTGTTCACTCAATTAACGTATGCTCAAATATTGATCAAATTACTCTTGTTTTGGATAAGTTCACAATATGTAACTGTGGTGTGGTCTACTTATATCCATATAAGTAGTATATGGTGTGGGTCAGACATAGAATGTATTTTGGCAGAAGACCGATGAGGAAAGAATGAAAATGAAGCGCAATCGTATGGAAAATGCATGAGCAATGGAATAAGAGAAGAAACAGTGAAGATTGAAACAATTGGTTGTTAATTTGCAAATTGACTGTTCATTGTTTGGTAATCAGAATTTATTGAGATAGTCTGTAATTTTTGCTTAAATACATTCGATTGTCCCCAGTTGTGTTTTGTTCACTACATTTGGTGTCGCTGCCATCCAGGAGGAGGAAGGGTGGTGTTCTGCGGACGCCGCTGCGAGTCTGGAGTTGAGGTGCTAGTTGGGGCAGTCTGGTGCGGAGAGTTGGCGTCGAGTGGAGTGTTCTGGCGGGGCGGCGTTGGCTGTAGCGGATGCTGTCGACGGAGAGGAGCAGTGGGACGTGCGGCTGCTGGGCGGACATCGGATGTAGAATGCTCAGCAGGCCGGTGGAGTACGGGTGTTGAACGTCCCAGGTGCCGGGTGGATGCGGATGTTGACGCCCCGGCAGGTCGACGGAGCTCTGGAGGTCAGCGCGCCGCAGACTCGACATTCTGACGGAGTGTTTGGCACAGACTGCAGTGAAAGAAGATAGTGGCTAGGCGAGCAGAACCACCGCATGAACGAATGCTTTAGAGGGGGACGAGTGTGGTGTGGTCTACTTATATCCATATAAGTAGTATATGGTGTGGGTTAGACATAGAATGTATTTTGGCAGAAGACCGATGAGGAAAGAATGGAAATGAAGCGCAATCGTATGGAAAATGCATGAGCAATGGAATAAGAGAAGAAACAGTGAAGATTGAAACAATTGGTTGTTAATTTGCAAATTGACTGTTCATTGTTTGGTAATCAGAATTTATTGAGATAGTCTGTAATTTTTGCTTAAATACATTCGATTGTCCCCACCCGTTTTCTGTTCACTACATAACCACTATATATCAACTGACAAACCACTGAAATAACCAGGTATTAAAATAATTTGGTGGATGTGTTCAAAATCAATTGGTAGTTCACATGTAAGTAGCATTATAGGATCAAATTTATTATCTAGGATTCTGGGGTTATTACTATAACTTTAGAAGTTATAACCAAATAGTCCACATCTTCAACTTCATTTCACCCATTATGCAACATAGTCATCATTTAAAGTTATCACTGAATTACAGTCAACCTCAAGTGTTAAGAAGTTTAAACTAGAAAAAGTAATTATTCAGTGCTCAGCGGTTTTGATGGGAATCACGCTTATTTCAAGATGCGGTACAACTTGTAGCAGAATTCAACAAGTTCATTATTATATTACTTAAGTCAATATGAATAATAATGTTAACTTATTGAAATGGCATACATTTTTCTTATTATCGTAAGTGATGAGACGACTTTTGTTTTGTGAAGTATACTATTTTTTTGAACGGACTTCATTAAAATGCTCTTATCATTAGAGTAAATAAATAAGGCAAATTTCCTTCTCTTTTTTTAGGGTGATAGTGGGAGTGGTCTGATTTACATGAAAGATAAAAAACATTACGTTGTTGGTGTGGCTTCAGCTACACATGCTACAGCACCGGAGCTTTATCCAGGTTTATTCACAAGGGTTTCATATTTTAGAGCATGGATTGATGGAGTGATAGATGGAACAACGAATCAAAATTTAACTAGTCCAAGCCAATAAAGAAAAAACTGGATTTACACTGTCATATTTTCAGTACATTTCACATTAATAATATTAAAATACACAAAAGAAGCATTGAACTATTTTCATGTTGATTTTATTCCATCTGACATAACGTGTAATTAATATACTGTAATAACATTGAATACATAATTTAAAAAATAAAAAAAAACTTTTGAAATCATTATGTTTGTTAATGAAGAAGATACAAGATGAATTCGGTGCATGTAATTTCATAGATACTTTCTTAGAGATATTCTGATCTATATCTATGCAGAGGATTTAGAACTATGTCGATACAGATGTTTCACATCTTAAAATGATTTAAGTTTTAAAAAGTATATAATTTCCGTCTTATCTGTTATTCAACAATACTTTAAGGAGAAAATTTGTCATACAAAGGCATTTGATAAAGAAGGTAATAAATTGAGTATTTTTATGTCCAGCAAGCTTTGTAATAATGAATTTTACATAAATATGTACTCAATCATGTACTACTGTCAATCTGTGTTTTAATCAGACAAAAGTTATAAACCCTCATAATTTTCAATATTTTTTCAGTTCCTTATTCAGAAATGGATGGAAAGATGCATCACGGAATAAGATTTCAAATTAGAAATATCTTTTTTAAAAACCTAATAATCAGAGTCAGTAAGGAAGATATACTCTTTTAGTAACAACAAACTAGTAGTTATTTTGGTATTATTTTAAGAATATGATATTTGTGGACAAAAACAATAGGAAAATATTTTCATTATGTAAGTCTGTTTAACTCAAAGGTAATTGGAGACTTTTCCGTGATAGGATAGATTTCTTATTTAATAGGTCAATGTAAATGTACACCGAACCACTGAGAATTATGATCACTTTTTTTAATTCGTAATAGCCGTAAGTACGTATAAATATATTTGATGAACTAGGTAGAAATTTATTTTGGTTAAAACTTTAAGGACACAAATATGATGCATGTTACTTCTATATCATTCATAATGTTAAATCAAATTTTCGTCACAGTCTAAATATATGAAACATTTATAGATGCTGTTTGAACCGAAATGATGGGGTGCTTATTATAAGATATGATATTCGGTTACAAATAAATAGGATGAAATCTATTGTGATAATTTTTGATAACTCATTTTTTAATGCTTTAGTAATTCTTGGGAAAGTACGTAAGTAAAAAAGTGTCAGTTAATCACTTACTTAGCATTCGTATTATGAAGAACAAACCTGTTATAGTCCGGAATCAACATTATTATAAATTAAAAATTCTGCTCCGTTGGCACTGCTTTAACTGGGTAGCCAACAGTAATATCTGCGGGGTTGTCATTGTTGTGTACATATAAAATCTGTTGAGTCCTGAATTTTAGTGCTTTTACCTAATAATCAGAACTCACTACAATTCTTACAGCGCATAGAACACGAAAGACTGGTAGAATGAAGATTTATTGACTCTCTAAACACCGGTCTCCAAACAATTTCCAAAATCACATTTGAAGTCGCATAATCCTTCGATCATAATACAATAGTTGATATACCACACACACTTTATGATATAACATGGGGGGAAACATATACAATTACTGTAAAAATACATTATATATAGCTCACTTAAATTAATACAGGAAACAAAATTGTCACATTGAATAAGAGTTCACGTTTAGCATTAAATCTAAGTTTATACCGGATTGATACAAAAAATAATGTTATCCACATCAATAACAACAAGAGTGTCCACACAAAATAATGGGTTTGCGTATAATCTTATTAGTCAAATAATAAGGTGGAAGTTATACTAGATAAATGGAATTCTAAATATTTTGCACTTGTGCTTCAGTAGTCTAACAAGTTTCCTGTTGAAATAGTGTCTAACAGATACCAATCAACGTGATATTTACACTACCGAACCGATCAGTAAATTAACAATTGATCATTTATTGTCGAACTTATTCTAGAGAGGCTACGACGAAGAAGAATAAACATCTAGAGTGACCAGTTTCTTAGATGCAGGATATCATGTAGTTACTACAAGATCCTTTAAGATGATTAACATGCAGTTGATCTCTAATCTCGGCACATTTCCTGTAGCCAACCTTTAGGCTTCTGTTTTTTTATTCGGAAAATGCAGTTATCAGTTATCGTTTTTCTTGGTAACAGTAAACTTAATACTTTGGTCTTTTCAGCAATTTCATTCGAATATTTCACTATGTTATTTGTCGGACTCTCTTTAGGATCACTCAGGATATTTCTAACCCACTTGTTATTACTCACTTCATTTCATTCTTATTATTAGCATTTGCTCATTACATAACTACTCATTCTCATCCCTATGGCCTTTTATTGTTATCAATGATCCTCTTTATATGATAATTGTTTGCTTCGTTTTTTTTCAGTCTCTTGATTTTATTTTGATCTTTGCTACACTAAGATTTTACTATCAGAATTATTGTGCCAAAACGATAAACTTCATCTGCCTACTATATGATTGCAATCAAACCATGTCACACATACTTTCGTAATTGAGAGGTGTCATGCATTTGAGAAGTTCTCTCCTCCCGTTAACCTAACTCTAAACGAAAATAAAATGTGATTATGGTCAATTGTTTGACTAATACCTGATATTTTATAATGAACAATTGCTGGTAAATAACGGTTATTATCCGCGTACTGGTTGTTTAAATCTTCCAATTAAAGTTTAGTACTGTAATCGATCAGTCTCTTATTAGCATTTTACATATCATTTTTATTGAACGTTTGTGTTTATCTAGACCTGAAAGTGCAGTAATTTAGTTTGTAATAGATAAATTAAATAATAACCACAATGTGAGTGTTATTAACTAGCAATCTAGAATAATTAACTTCATACATTCACGTTTTTATGGATTTGGTGTAACTTAATATTTGTACTTTATTTACCAAAGTGTACCAAGTTTGTAGACATGTAAACAAATAGGCATTATCGATGGATTACGTGACAAATTACACACAAAGCAGAAAGATAAGATTAGAATCGATTCATTCAATTAAAATTAGTATGCAAGTAGTCATTGAATGGGATCTGAATAAAAGCTGGAAGAGAACAAGTATCAAGAACCAGAACAGACTGATTACAAATTTCTTTTTGTGTTTTGAGGTCAGATTATAAACTTTCATGAAGCGTATTTAAGTGAACATCAGTTACATTTATAGTGAAACAATATCCATATTTATGACTATTACATGAGTCTGTGTCGGCAAATTGATTCAGTGAGTAGATTAGTGATATACTTTAATAGAAATTATCTATTATGTGTCAAACAGCATCTAAAATAGATGAGACCATTAGTTTTTCCTTTGCTTGATTCAATGTCATATTTCTGGTAAAATATAGGATTCTCAGAACAAAGTATTTCAACAAGTTTCGGTTTCTTAATTTTCAGTCGATCCTCATGATAAATGCTAAGTGATCATCAGTTAGAAGTTAACAGTCCAGTCAATTGACAATTAAATAATGTACATCATTTTAGCTGCATATTGCCAGCAACCACGATATCTTTTATTGGGCCTATTTGTAACTTCTACAACGAAAGATTGTACACCTTTCAGAAACACAGCTGAATAGTTTATGCGGTTAATAGCCATAACGATGTATTAAAACAAAAAAAATCGATAACTCGTTGAAATATCTAGATGGTAGGAACAGTTAGCTCTGATGTTCAAGCAGGCCCTTCAACGTTCGTTTATATCTATTAAAGATATCTCTTTTGTATATTCTAAATAATATCTGACATTTATTGGTTACTTGAAAATGAATAAAAAAACAAGGATGCTTAAATTAAATCTACGATTTTGAATAAAGTTTCATATTTTCTTATTGTTTAATTATTTGACAAATAAATTATCGATTATTTATTTATCATCTTGCCAAGGACACTGTCTACTTTTCTATCTTCTCTAATTTCACGATGGTTTATTCACTGAACATATTAACCGTTAACTGAGTATAGCTTAATAAAAAGTCAAGATTTGATCAGTACTTATAGTAACAAATTTATTTTTTTCATTTTTTTTTAAAAAAAAGTTACAAAATGTTTTGAGATAACAGTACAAAAGTGTCGTTGTACTATTTTTTCTTCTTTTTCTTGTTATTGTTGTTCAAAAAAAAGAGAATAAATCATACGATTTAGATTATAATTTTAAACATGATTGTATGCTAACTAGTGTACATTTGAATTAAACTAAATGAGTTTTTGTTTTGTTCAGATTTGTCAATGAGATGTCTTCTAACCGGATTTGAAGAGGAGGAATGCACGTTCTTGTAAATAGAAGTATATGAAATGTTGTGTTTCATGTGTTACATAACTGAAATCAAAAATTAAAAAAAATACATTGAAACATTGTGTATTTAATAATGTATAGAAAATTTAACATTTCTATATCATCCTATAAACTTTATCAACCTAAGCTAACAGTGAAACTAGTCTATAAAAGAATGCAAATAAATTTTAAAAATGGGAAATAATAATGTTCATACAGTTTCAGCGTTTGTTGTTTTATATCTGATAAGTTATGTTCATTATGTCACAGAACTCAATATATCTAACAACATACATTGTATCATAATCATATTTTGAAATTAAAGGACATTAACATACATATAAATAATTTTATCTATATTACTTACCTTCCAAAGTGTTTTCCAACAATACAATGCCAATTTGGATTATATTTTCGATCAAATTCTTTTTTTATATAAGCAGCAACATCTTTTTCAATTTCATATTTGTCAAGTGCAGCAGCAGCTGTATGTACAGCGGTCTCTTGCATATCTTCATGCATATCAGCATTCTTAATAACAGCTTTGCGTTCTCCCATTTAAGTTAATCTAGTAATATAAACACAGTCAAGTATCACGTCTAAATACAACAGTACTTTTATACCATTCACAATTTTAAGTACCTTGTGATATCACTATTTTCATTCGTAGATTCATATTTTAGTAAATTAGCTTCAATTCACCTGACTAGATGAGAATTTTAAAAAATGAGCTATTCCGAAAATTAGCTTTTATATAACACAACTATATTAGGCTGACAAGTAAATGAACACAAATATTATTCTTATTTGTAGTTAGAGAATTATATGTGTGTTCACCAAATCATTTTTTTTCTTTAAATGATTCTTTCTTTCTTTATTGTTGTGTTTACTCATGATTGACTTGAAACTATGTGCATTAGTTTAGTATGTTTCTATGAGTAGAAATAAATATGTATCATAACTTCATTATAGTATGTTACTATATGGTTTACACCTAATGTTTGTTTGTTTGTTTTTCTTCTTTCTAAATAATCATGAAATATTTTTGTTTACAATTCTTTATTTCACAATGGTTCATCAGTTTAAAAGATGAAATTTTTTTAATCAAATCAATCTTTGAAAACATAGAAAAAAACTTTATAAATGAAATCTTTTAATTGTGATAATTATATTACTGATTCATATGAGTTAACAAAACATTTTTAAAAAAAAGTTTAAAATTATTAAAAAAAACATTAAAAAATATTTAAAAAACGAGCTATTTAAAAAAAAATTAGTTACCATGACTTATTTCAAGTTAAATCAGTTAAACTTTTCATCAGGGTTAAAATAACAGATGAAGACTTGTACATACCTTTTATGAAATGAATTAGATTACTACTATCTTCAGTTTCTCAAATACAACACGGAGAATACTAACCAAATCACACTTGATGGAGAAACTCTGGAAGAGGTGAAAACATTCACGTAATTGGGAAGCATCGTTGATAAACAAGAAAGATCTGATGCAGATGTAAAGGCGAGGATAAGCAAAGCAAGGGCAACATTTCTACAATTGAAGAACATATGAAACTCAAAACAACTCTCAACTAATTTCAAAGTGAGAATCCTCAATATGGACGTCAAGACAATCCTACTGTACGGACCTGAAACATATAGAACTACTACATCCATCGTCGAGAAGGTACAAGTACTTATAAACAGTTGTTTACGCAAAAATACTCCACATTCACTGGCCGGATACTATCAGCAACAAGGTTTTATGAGAATGGACAAACCAGCTTCCAGATGAAGAGGAAATTAAGGAAAGACGTTGGAAGTGGATTGGACATACATTAAGGAAATCACCAGACTGAATCACGAGGCAATCTCTAACTTGGTATCCGAAAGGGAAGCGGGAAAGATGAAGGCCAAAGAACACATTACTCCGGGAGATTGAAGCAGATATGAAAAGGATGAATAGAAACTGGAAAGGATTGCCCAGGACAGAGTTGGATGGAGAATGCTGGTGAGCGACCTATGCTCCTCGACGAGGGGTAACAGGCGTAAGTAAGTAAGTAAGTATCTTCAGTTTCCTACACAATGTATCCAAGCTATTTAACATAGACTTACATCAATACGAAAGTTGTTTTGTTAAATTTTTCAAATAAATGATACAGATAATAATTATATTTTATTAGCATTTGTTATTGTATTTACCAAATAGTGAATTATATACTTTTTTTACAATATAGAAACTAGGCGGTCAAGTAGTACAACTAAACCAACTCCTTTGTAAGGTTTACTTAGGATTAAATCCTTATTTTTATTAAGGAGCATTAGCTGATCCAAATGGTTCTTAGTTAGTAAGTTATTCTCACTACATTGTTTATAATATCAAGTTGATTAAAAGAACTTTAAACCTAAATATATCTGATAGACATTGAAGAGCAGTTAGTACATTGTATAAGAGAGTTTTATAAAAATAAATTTTTTCTATTATTTTGAACTATGATCCCAATAACATAAGATAGGAACTCACTGAAGACAATTGGTGAACGGTTTCTCAACTTCGTGGAATCATTGAAGTTAGACATTAACACCATCGGATGCCGCTCAGTGGTCCATCGATTAAAGGCTCTGGCATGAGACCGGTAGGTCCTGGGTTCGAATCTCGCAAGGCGAGGTCATGGATACGTACTGCTGAGGAGTCCCACAATAAAACAAAACGGCCGTTCAGTGCTTCCAGACTTTCCTTGGTGGACTAGCTTCAATGCTTTCAAACATGTAGACTTGTTTGCAAAGCTGATGTTCATACATATTATTTTTTTTAATGTTATTTTTATTATGGAATAAGTATATACGATGGGAAGGTATCAAATAATCATTATCTTTAACAGGTACAGAATTATATTTATAATCCATTACTTTAACAATATTATCAGACGTTTTCAAGAGAATTATCAGTTAGACATAGAAAATAAACTATCAAGTCATTTAGTTCATAAACAGAAATAGGTAATTTATGTTATTCGTTACAAATGAAATGAAACATAAATAGTAAATGTGTTAATGTTAATGGTGTCAACGTATTGTACAAAGTGCTAATTAGTATAATTCATCATTGTTTTTAAATAGTGACTTTCTAAATTATATAATTCGCATTGTAATTGCATTTCTTTTTGTTTGCCAACTTCTGATTAGTTTTACATACTACGTATATCTGTCAACATAAGTAGTATACACTTAAATAAAAGTTTTCAGTCAACCTGTATTCTGAATATTAAGTAACAGTTTTCGCATCAAAACTCACTACTCATTACAATGATAAATGAAGTATACATAATTATTATATACCTGATGGAATCCTGTGAAATACATGTATTTAACTAACTAAACCAGTCACAATATTAACAGCCTGATTCGCCAAATTTCGTTGCATTGTAGTGAACAAGAAGAAAAAAGAGAACAATCAAATGTATTTGAAAACAAAATAACACAACAACTTAGGAAAATCTCAAAATCATACAGTAAATACTTCATTTGCGAAATGTCAATCAACTGTCTCACACTTCATTGTTCTTTCGTTTCCATACCTATCATTCTCTGTTCTCGTTCACTAGTCTTCGATCTTCTTAACGTTCTGCCTCCAAGTATTTCACTTTCGATTGATGATTCATACTACTTATATATGTCAACATCAATAGCACACACCATAGTATTACAATATCAACTAAGTATTTATTTAACGGTTTGAAAATTTCACAATAAATGTGGTAAACGTATGCACATTTATTTATGGAAATTTGTCTTTATTCCATTAAAATAATGTTGACCTGTCGTTGAACAAGACTTAATTCATTAATTAATACATTGAACATAACTGCGTAAAGTTTTGATATGGATTTTCACGAATTATCTACTTGTGATCTATAAAAGTCGATCTGTTTCTACTATGCTTCAAACTTGAAATTCAACTTTCACGAACATACAATAGAGAAATACGTCGACGTGTCATTATACGATAACTTTTAGTTATGAAATAAATAATTTATCAAATAGAAAGTTTAATCACATAAAATAAGAAATTATTAAATTGGTCTTCTTTTCTTAAGAGTTATATGAATTCGAACCATAAAATCGTATGGTGGTATTACATTCAAATATTTCGCTTATCTTCTTACACTATTAGAATTAGAATAGTTGCAAGTACAATCAAGTAGACAAAAATAAATAACTCCTGTAATTTGCTTAATATAAAATATCATAATTATGGACTTATAACTGTAGAGCCTGATGATGAAGTTATGGAAAACAATTGTTTGCTTAAATATTGTTCATTTTTAAATATTCTATGGGGATCTTTAAACTGATGAAATAAACTCCCAAGAGATGGTGGAGAAGATTTGTAGCTCAGGCGGATGATTTTGATGTAGGTTTGTTCTCTGAGCTGGATGGTTTGGTCGTGGACGATGAAAGCTCCACGATCAAAACGTCCAGCTCAGAGAACGAACCTACATCAAAAACTCGCAAAACTTAAATATGTGGTTATGACTTTGAATTCATTTATTTTAATGGCTATATTTGATTTCTCAATTTGAAACTTATTAAAGTAAATGATACCACATTTTGAATTTGGATACATTACTTAATTTGTAAACTCTACATTTGACTCAAACTAATATATGAATTTATACTTTGGTTAACTAGAAATAATGAATGTTCTACTTACAGAATACATTTTTTGTTATATGTTTCTATATACAAAAGAGTTGAATGAAAATACATTCTTTAAACTAGTATGCCTATTAATCATATTTATAACTACATAAAACTATTCAGTGATAGATACCAATGTAAGTTGTACACATGTGTCTCTACAATTTGTTACTATGATCATAATTAATAATTTCATACTCATTCATTTAAAATGAATTTTCAGAATTTTCACTTATTAACTAGATTATAAAGTTAAATAATCAATGATCTACTCCAAAGTACCTCTATTCGCCTTTTTCTTATAATAAACTAAATTTAAGAATAGTTATCTTTGATTTATTACATTAATTATGATAATTATAATTAATACATTTTCTTTATTTTGACCAATTTATTATAGAATTCAATGAAATAACTAACTATTTTTTTACAAAGTCATTTTAAAGCTTATATTGGTAATTGATATTACCTGATACAGTTGTTGATGTGAACAGTGAAACAAGAAGCCTTAACAAACTACGGAAACTATTTTTGGGGAGATTTATTTCACTTAATTCAAAGCTTATAAAATTGTAATATTTACTTTTGTCCCTAGTCTATTCTACAGATCATAAGCTTTCGTGTGATGTATGATTCACTGCCATGGCCTTTTTGTTCCAAAGCTATTGTAATTTAGACGTAACCGGTTGTACTCTATTTTCTACTCTAATCCTCCAGTTTTGGACATAATTGTATTTTCCTAATTATTGTACGTTGTGGTCAGGTTAGTCATCTATTTATTCATATATCTGTTTACACTAATCTGAATTCGGAATTCGGGTACCAGTTCAGATTTGGAATAAAGCGGGTAGTGTTCCAGTTATCTTGTCTTCTCTCTCGCGCGCGTGCTTGTCAGCCGATCGGGGATAGAATAGTTTTTGTCTCTCTACCCCCATTTGGAACTCACGCGTACTAGCCTCAAGGTTAAGCCAGTCAGCCTTCTCATCAAGATCTTATTCTATATTAGACAAGTTATACTCGGCACGAAAGTGGGTAGACAAATCAAGGACATACCAGTTGTAGTTTTCTTTAAATTAGCTTTGCTCTTCTGATAAATAAAATGTTCATTTAAGGTACTATTTTAAGTCATGTCATATATTCTATTCCCATGTAAGCTTCTTTAATTAAATGATAAGAAATTTTGTGCAACAAAGTGTGTTTATCAAATGCTGTTGATCTCTATCGGCTACAGGAAACTATGATTTATAACAATATGAAAATACTTCATTTTTTGTGGAATTAA